ATCCTGATGTTTCTCTGCGGCTCCGCCTCTTTCAGCAGGTCGGTCCTGTGAGGTATCTCTTTGGTTTGCCTTACTGCTTCGCACTATGCGTCTGGTCTTTCTGATGCGAGTGTATCACCATTTGTATGGTGATTAGGTGCCTTCATTGATGGTGTCCCAACTATAGTCCTCTCAGTGACAGTATGAAGTTTCTTGGCGGTCTTTCCGTCATTTTCTTTCTCTTTTTTGGTTTTCGTTGATTTTGGACTAGGTTATTTTGTCCTTCCTCTCTTGGCTTTTTCTGGATTGGCATCTTATGCCTGATACTGTTGCTTCGTATAGTGCGACGTTGGTGAAGCCGCTGCGACTTGCATACGGGGTGGATGATACTTCCGCTCTGTTCTACAAATTTTCTTGTGCGCTTTTCCACCTCTGGCCTGCTTATGCACTGCCTGAGCCTTCTTGGTCTTTGAATCGAGTTCTTTCTTTTTTTTCTTCTCCTAACTTTGTTGTGGCCCCTTTAGTTTGGGATTGCTTTTGAAAGGCCTCGTTTTCGTTGACCTTGGCCTCTAGGGGTCTAGGAGAGCTTCCTGCTCTCTTTCGATGCCTGGGGTTCTGTTCTTTTGGTCCAGGTGGTAGTTTTGTTTGTTTGCAGCCTTTTCCTTTTTTCTTTTCTGGAGAAGAATGGGACAGCTGGCTTCTGGAGGGGGTCCGTTGGTTGTGGATGCTTGGTTGGTTTGGCCGGGGTGAGTCACGTGTTTGGCGGTGGTAGCTTTATGCGGCTACCTGCTGGCCATTGGTTCTGTGACGGTGAAGGCGCTCTGGGTGAATCAGCTTTACTTGATTCCTTGTTCCAGGGCTTGTGTACTCACCCAGTTGTGCTTGTGGGGGCTGAGCTTTGGCTCTTTGGTCCTGCCTCTCAACAGTCAATCAACTGATTTACAGATTCTAGAGCCTATTGGGCTCTATCATTTGAAACTGTGCATGGAGTCTGCCTCCACCACATCGCTGCCTAATTGTGTCTCAGGTTGTCCGCAGTGTCATCAAATCTAGCCAGTCTGTGGTCTATCCTTGTGCCTATGATGTTAGGAAGTATGCTGCTCTCGTGGTGGTTTTAAGCAACATGTCTTGGGTTGACATTCAGGCGTAGGGGTTTTGGAGGTCAAACAGGGTCCTGGCCACCAGGTATCTCATGAACGTTCTGGTTCCCTCTCGGCCGTGTGTGGCTTTGGGGCATCTGTTGTGGCCGTCTGTCTCTTCCTTGTCTTGAGTCCTGTGGTTCTGCCACCTCCCGGGTATGTTCCTTCTTTTACTTACCTTTGGGTAGTTAGTTGGTAGTTGGTAGACCCATCAGGGAGCTGATGGTCTACCAACAGAAAATCAGCGTTGAATGTAGTGAAATACAATTTTCTGGGTGAGCCCAAGATGCTCCCTAACACCCTCCCTCCCTGCGGTTGGCGGTTTTCACATCTTCAGATCTTTTTAGATTTTCCAGATCTACTCCGTTCAAGATCTGGAGTAGTGTGCTGCCGGTTCCTACTCCCTTATGGGGGAGTAGTACTAACGAGCGAGAGTGCTAGTTGCATGAAGTGTTGCGTGTTGGGTTTCTTTCTAGGGGAGTTATTTTTGTATTTTGGAATGTAGATTGCACAGGTTAACCAGACAGTTCACCTGGTCGATGGCAATTACAGTACACATTAAAAATAACCTTTTCGTAGACAATTGCTACCTGCGCCTCTCTGAGGGGAGCCAGTTCTGGGTCGTAGTTCCTGGTAGGCATAAGGACTCCTGTGACTGATGACCCCAGACTAATATAGCACATATCTGTTTGGATAGCTTCAGGGAGCCTCCGGGGCTCACCTAGAAAATGGCGTTTCATTACATTAAGTGCTTATTTTTTATTATACAGTATATGGAGCTAAACATTGTGATTTTGCTTGTGCTCATTATTATAGTAACACATTTTTCTGGCAAACTTTAAGTGTTATTAATTACCATAATTTAATTTTAACAATATAATTAGAGTAATGATTTAAATGTGATAATGTTCATACCATTGTTTATTATACTACATAAAAATAATAAATTAAAATCGGTTATATCTTGAGCTTTATACAGTGATACATAAATTGATAAAAAAAAAGTGATAAAAAGAATTGTCATGTATTAGGTTGAATAGTATACATGTGACACATGTGTAGTGTGCAGGTTGAAAATAAATTGCCAAAGGGAAAAATGTGTTTTAATGGGATTAACAATTTCCATGCAATGCTCTTTTGCTCCAATACAACTTCAACAAATTTTATGTTAATGACTGTTTTTCGTTTCTCCAGTGAAAAGAGTTTGAATTCAGAATTTTTTAAAATTCAGTGACTAAATTTTAAATAAAAGATTAAATGTTAAATAAAATATTAAATGTTAAATAAAATATTAAATATTAAATAAAATATTAAATGTGAAATAAAATATTAAATGTTAAATATTTTTTCCCATTCTGTAGTTGAATTTTACCTAAACCTTACTTTATTGGATTAGATTTAAAATTCCAAGCATATAACCTTGTATAAATATAAGAGATTTCAATTTACAGTAGTTGGTAAAGCTCTTGTCTGACGGGCACTTTATTGCTTTCAAGGACAAGCTCCTACTGGTCCTCTTGGGGTTAGGATCAGATACCTGTCCAGGATCGTAGATATTTGACCTGCTGCAGCAGAGATTTGTTTAAGTGTCCCTGCTGGGTCTTACCGGTATAAGGAAGACACTTGTGAACATTCATTCTTCCCAGAACAACCCCAAAGTTTATTCCAATATGCTTGAAGTCCTTCCAAATGCTTCTTGGCATCATAGGGACTACCAAGTACTTTACAATAGTGTTGCTCAGCCTGTTTGGACACTTGTAGTGCTTCACCATTTGATATTTATTTTAGACAAAATTTTATTCACCACCAATAACTTTACTTTTGTCTACCTTCGCTATTAACCTTTTGGCTACATTATGTGATAGTGCTTGAATCAAGATAATAGGACGTTGGCTGCTGTGTGCAACCTCCATTCAAATCCACTAAAAATTGGGTCACAGCTGAAATGTCACATGTTCAATAGTTTCAGTAGGATAGAAGACTCTTTGGGAATTTCTTTTCACATGATGCCGCTTCACCTAACAGTAAATAGGTATCTGGAAGTTGTGCTGCTGTTGTTGTTTGCATCCTGGGGAAGATGAGTGGTTGGCCTAAAGGGACATTGATTAACTTAAGTACAGCCTGCCTGTCCCCATAAATATGAATTACACAAAGGAGGTATAGTTTATATAATATGTAATTCAGTATTTCTTAAAGCATCTTGTAAAAATGCAAAGCATTGCACTACATTTTTCTTGCACAGTAACTTACATTTTGGTCCCCTCGTCATTTGCAGTGGATGCCTACATTAATTGTGGTATTCTGAAGAAAGTTTGAATTAATAATAATGCTTGTTCTTTACACTGTGTTCATAAGTTTGTTAACTCTCCAGAAGTATCCAAGGATTGGCTTAGAATTCAAATTTGTTGTTTTGGATATACAGTATAAAGAGCACAAGAGTGTCAAATGTTTGTTCTTTATCTGGTTGTTGTTAGATTGAAGATCGGTTTAGCTAGCTGGTTTCTTTCTAAATAATATGCAGTAAATCTTTTTTAAATTATATAAATTTGTTTGCTAGTTTGGCTCATTAGGAAAGGAAATTGGTGTCGTCAAAACATGTACTCTAGTTTCAAGATATTTAACATTGTGTAGGCTACCAGTGTATAGGAGGAATAAATGTGGGCTGAGTATGCTGTCCTTTGGAAAATTAATCCTGTAATTATGGGAAGTGTATGAGGAGCAGTTATTTCCAAGTCGATATTGGATTGTGCTGGTATGGGAGCTTTAAATGACGTTATGCACTCACTTTACTCTGTAGCATTAAAGTCTGTGCATAATAGATAATGATCAGTAGTACCATGAGCCTTATGTACATCAGTAAATACTAAAATTGAATATACAGTATATATATTTGTAGTTGTATAGCATTATATATAAGTTGTATAGACTTTGTATAGCATTTTATCAACCTGCCCTCAGGGAGGGGGATTAGGTACCCTCATGGTAACCACTTCAAAAAACTAAATAATTAGTACTACATTCTATCCATGGTTAAGCCAGGTTAAAGTTTGGTTAAAACAGTGTATTATTCTCAAACATGTGAAATGTGAAATTCAAAAACAGTTTGATTATCCCCGCAAATTTCACATTAAAGAAAACCTTGACCTTAGAGCTTATCAAAGAAACTGACTATACCACAGACTATTTCTAATTTAAACCCTGGGTCTATAATACAATACAGTTAAAATGTGAGAAAATGCCCTGTTTAGTACAAAGGTTCACTTGCCAGTTTACAAATATAATATTATGAAACCTTATTTAGTCTTTAGAACATCTCAAATATCTAGATAAATATCCAGGTGTTTCACCAGGGTGGCTGGCCGGTCGTTAGAGTCACCTTAGACTAACAACATGCACTTTGTTTGTAACAGTTTGCTCTCTTTATGGTCTGAAGTTAAACTGTTTAGGATTGATGATGATCTTCTTTGACAGTAAGAGTAGAACTGACAATAGATGGTACTTGTAGATTTTATATTGGTCTGAAGTTATTCATTAAATTGATATGATCTCGGTACTCTTGGGAACATTAGTGAAAGCTTGGAGTTGAAGTGATTTGCTGAAATGTAATGTTACAACAGTTAATATATACAAGGCTGTAATTATTTGTATTTTTGTAGTTTTAATAAAATTGTGTGCATCATTTTTAGTTGGATGCTCTTGTAAATAATTATCATTAATAAAAATAATACTTGGGTACTAAAAATTTGTCATTAATAATTTTCAACTATGATTGCCATGCCTGAAAGTTTTAGATACACCATTTACATAAATAAAGGATATGTAACTGATATATAGTATTGTGGTTAATATTACTTAGTTTTTATTAGGTTGTACATATTTCAGGGAGCATGATGGCCGGAGGTGCCTCGGTGAGGCCTATGCAACCCATGATGGCAGGTAAGTAACATGAGCTTTGAAAATTGTTGTTCAGTTTAAACCAGTAATGAATACAATCTTAAATAACACACTGAGTGTAGTTGTCTTTTTATCTAGATGCTTTTGTAAGGAAATAGGAATAACCATGGGTCTTTGATAGCAAACTTTGTTTCTGCAGCTTAGCATTGATTATAAATTTAGCAACTCTTAGTTACTGAAAATTTTGTGTATTATTTATTTAATTTTCTTGAAATTAGCTACATGTAATGTTGTCATGTTCAAATGTTGGCTTCAGGACTGCCCATTGTGGCCCATTACAGGTGTTATTAAATCTGATGGTAATTTTTCCATTGCATGCTGACTTCCATTGAACAGAGTTTAATTTGTGGGAGGCCACAGAAAATATTAATATAATTGAACATACAGTACTAAAGAAATGCCACAAATAAATGTTCTGTGCACTGATTACTTAGAGACTTTAAAACTTTCATATTAATCTAATCATTTAGGAACTACAGAAAAAGCTTTGATGTGTTTTATTTTAACTGATGTACTGTATGCTTAAGTTAGTCTGCATGAAGGGTTACCCAGCATACCCATGCAACATTCACATGTATTGGTTTGCAAAAAAGGAAAAGCATAAAATTCTTTTGTTTAGAACTGAGCCAACTCTCTTCCCTTTGAATATAATACTTTATTCACCAAAGTCATAAATATTTGTTTATACAGGTGGTGTGCCCTTACCAGGGTTGACTCAGCAGATGGTTCCAGCTCAACCATTGGTTCCAACTCAACCAATGGTTCCAGCTCAACCAATGGTTCCAGCTCAGCCAATGGTTCCAGCACAACCAATGATTCCAACACAACCAATGGTACCTCTGGCTCCAATGTCTATGGTTACGACATCAGTGGCTCCTGCACCTGCACCTCTAATATCTATGGCTCCAGCTTCAGTAGCAGCAGCACCCATTGTTCCAGCACCCATGGTACAACAACCCATTTCTTCATTACCACAGGCTGGTATGCCTAGTGTTCCTCAGCCATCACAGGTTAGCATGAGTAGAGATTGAGTTAACACTGTTAATATTTCTTTAGGCGAAAGTGGCTGTTATGTTTGAACATGCATTGTGTAATGATGTGAATGAAAATAATCAATATGATTTGGAATGGAATGGAGAGTTAAATTGCAAGCACAAAGAATAAATGATAGTGCTAGATTGGATAAAAAGTAGTTAAAACAAAGAAAGCAAAGGATTGTCCTAAATGTAATTAAATCTGACTGGAGAAATGGGGTGAGTGGTGTATTACAAGGTTCCATCTTGGGGCAACCCTTTTTGTCATGTTGTACATCAGTGACATAGATGAGAATATTTCAAACCACATCATCATATTTGCAGATAATACTTTGATCTATGAGAAAATCAGTAAGAACCATGAGGATTCCAACCTATGCTCTGGGTACTCCCAAGAAAACTCCTTGGAACACTGCACCATGTTGAACTTTTTTTATGCTTTTTTAGCAGCTTTTTCTGTGGAGAGCCCTTTCGGCTCCCTGGAGCTATACCGGGCTGATGTGCATATATTAGACTGTGGCAACAGTCAATCAAATGAGTTCTAAGCCTACCGGGGACCAGAGCCAGAACCTGGCCCCCTCAAGAGAGGCACGAGGAACAGTGGCCTAAAGACACCCCTGTGTAATTGGAAGCAGTCTTTGTCTGCCATCTACCAGGTCAGGCACCCAGAAAGGTAGGAATTTCAAAACAAACTACTACTGGCCAAAAATTGCAAACCGAAAGTCGAAATGCAAACAGAACTCCCAATCAAAAACCGGGAAACAAACATGACGTCATCACAACCACCGCGCATCTGTCTGCACAACCCCCCCCCCCCCTTTCACGGGACGGGGACAGGGGGGGGAGTGGTTGGCCCCAGACCTCCACGCCGGCAACTCTCCCCAGTTCAAAGGCTGTTGTGATGAACAGTCGATCGCTCTGGCTCCACTCTTTGCGCAGTGCTGCAGTGCAGTGTTGTTGCTCTGTATTGGTGGTGTGTGACCCAGGAGTGACATAAGAGTATCTGGGGCTGCATGCACCTAGGGATACCTTCCCTAGGTGCCCCATAAGTACTGCCTTTGCGGCTTCAGGGTTATCTTCCATGAGCCGTTCAGCAGCGTCTACCTCCGTGTGGTTCTGTTGCTGCTCGGTGATTGCCCGCCCTTGCGGGTTCAGCTGGGGTGGTTCTTACTCCTGTTTTCTCGAGGGCAGGAGGCAGTTTCATTGCTGGCTGGGGTACTGTGCAGCTGTCTGATATACGCATAGCGACTGGTTCTTTTCATCTGGAGACGTGCTTTTGTGTGGTGTTTCTTTTATATTTGTTTTGTTTTGCCTGGTGGGGGTCTGCCAGGTGTCATGCTCCCCAACCCGAACCCCAGAGGCCAATGCCAACACAAAAAGAGCCTTGGAGAAACAATCCTGAACCGAAGGGGCCACAACAAACCGAGGAGAAGAAAGAAAAGAGAGTACTCTGTCCAAAGACCAGGACGGCTCAGGCACCACATGAGCAGGCCGGAGGTGAAACAATGCATAAAACAGCTTGCGAAATGGCGCAGAAGTAACATCAATTCCGAAAGCAAGCTGTAGCGACTCCGCCAGCGCTGCATAATATGAGGCGACAGTGTTAGGCATAAGGTGACGGTCCTGGAACAACCAAGAGAGAAAGGACAACACCACCCAAACAAAAAGTGAAGCACAACGACGAAGGCATAAAAAGAACCAGAAGGACCACCAGGAGACCTCATACTGCAGCTGACACGAAGCCCACAGGTGGGACACCAACAAAGAAGCCACCTGATCACCATAGAGGTGATGATAAGCCCCAAGTCAAAAAGACCATATGCGAAGACTCGAGGACCTCACCGGGAAGGGCTGCACGGATGATCGGCGCGGCAGTAAAGTGTGATGTTTGCTTTTTCCTTGGGGTTGTAGGGAGTTTCTACCTCTCTGTTCTGTTTTCTGTTTTAGTGTTTTACCATGTGGGGTTTGTTTTGTTATGCCTACCTTTCTGAGTGCCTAACCCCAGTCGATGGCAAATGAGGAAAACCCCAACCACAAGGGGGTTTTCCAGGGCCATTGTTCCCTGAAACCTCTCTGAAGGGGCCATGTTCTGGCACTGGTCCCTGGTAGGTCTGAACTCCTTAGCTAATGTCCCTGTCTAATATAACATACATTAGCCCGATAAGCTCCAGGGCGGCTCCGGGGCTCACCCAGAACATGGCGTTTCATTACATTCAACGCTGGTTTTTTCTAATTTTTTAATTTTTTTTATTTCTTCATTTTTTTTATAGAAAATGAAGTAGCCTACCTAACATATACTGAACAAACCTTTTTGACATTTTTCTTTTTTAAAATTTGTAAAATTTTTCAATTTTTTCTAACAAAAAAAATCAATTTTTGCAACATAACAGCAGTCACCCCATTACATCACATCCCATCATCATTAGCATCTTTAAAAAAAATTGATTTGCTTTGTCGGAGGCGTAGGAGAATTTGCGAGAACCAGCGGGAATGCTAGGAAGCACCACATGGTTTATTTGGTAACAAAGATTAAGTGCGTCGATCGAGACAAATTTTCTGCGAGGCGCTCGCTCGTTACCTGAAATGCTCGTAGATGGCACCACTCGTCACCCGAGATTCCTCTGTACAGTACTACCAAAACAGGATGATGGGCTGAATAATCAATTCTCTACCTAACTAGTCTATATGATAGCACCACAAATACCTCAAGTTAGTCTTTGCATTATAGTTACCACATGGGGATGACCATCCGATTAGAGCTATCATGTAGGTTGACCACCTTGGCCTGTTCCACCACCTCGAGAGAAGTGAACAAATATCTGCTTGTGTTTACTTTCCCTTCCTCAAGCATTCTAATGTTTTCTGGTTTCAAATCTTATTTCTTTTCATTTTTTATTTTGTTTACCGGTTTTCCACGTTTAACACATACATTTTCAACATGTTTTCCAGTAACAGAATGTACTTGGAATGGTATCTTTTATCAATATTAAGTACTTGTTTATATCTTTTTAAAGAGTAACGTTCTCCCAATGTAATTATACCACTTCACATGTTCAGAAAAGCTGCTGATCTGGTGGGAGCTTTGAACTGTAACCCCTACCAACCCAATCATTATTTTACATACCACAAAACATTCACTACAAAGGTCCCTTCCTTACAGTGTTGCATATGCTTCTCGCGCAGTGTGCTTTATGGAGTCCTTGGGTGACAGTTTTCTACCCAGAAGCACCCCTAGATCTCTCTTATCAGAATTCTTGAAAGGTTTTTCACATAATTTGTTGGTTGTTTATGGCCTATTATCTTCTATTCCACATTACATAACATATTTATTCACATTAAATTCCATTTGCCAATTGTTACTCCATACACTTATTTTGTCTAGGTCTTCTTGTAGGGCATCAGAATTATCTGTTTCTTATCTTCCCTAGAAGCTTGGCATCTTCAGCAAACATAATCATATGATCCTGTACTCCTTTCTCGTAGATGGTTTATGTAGACAGTGAACATTACTGGTGTTAGAACTGAACCCTGTGGTATTCCACTAGTAACACTTCTCAAGTCTGATATATTGCCTCTGATTATGTCTCTCGTGTCTCTACCAGAACATCTTTCATGCATCACAGAAGTGTTCCTGTCACCCCTCCAATATGTTGTAATTTTCAGAACAACCTCTTATGTAGGGGACTGTTGAAAACCTGTTTTAGGTCCAGATAGATGCAGTCAATCCAACCTTTTCGTTCCTGTAATATTTCTGTGGTTCTATCATGGAAACTAAGCAGATTTGTTATACAGGATCTTCCTATTTAAAAACCATAATGTCTGTTGTTGTTTAAATTTTCTTACGGTGTTCTGCTCATTTTATTTTTATGACTTTTTCTAATGTTGTGACCACAATGATTGTCAAAGATTCAGGTCTATAATTAAGAGGGTCTTTCCATTTTAGTTACAAATGATTATATGAATGATCTCTCTTTTTTTTTACTTGCTCCACTCTTTAGGTAGGAGGCATAGTGCCTCCCATGAGCAGTGTTGGAGTGGGCCAGATGCCAGTAGCAAGTACTGCAGTTGCAGCAGCAGTACCACCAGGTTCATCAGCACCAACTGGTGCAGCAGTGCAACGTACGGGCAGCCAAGAGTCAGGGTATTTGACACCTGTGTTTAGTAGTTGTGTTATGACCTTTTAAATTTGTTGTCGTACTGAAATGGCTGGGAATTCAAATCTGGTACACTTTCCATTAAAGTGCAGTATACTTAAACAAATCTGGTACACTCTCCATTAAAGTACATGAGAAAAAGTATCAATCATCAGTTGAATTTATTCATTACCAATGTTACTAGAAAAAAGATAAAAAAATAAAATATATTTTTTCACATGTTACATTGGTATGTATACAGTATGCAAGAGTAAGAACATTTCTTGGGTCAAAAGTTGGCACAACATTTCTAGAAAATCCAAAGTTAACAACTAAACAAATAATAGCTGTGCAGTATCTGCATGAATATAAGCTGCCAAAATTTTCTATGGAGCTTACACAGAATCTAAAAGCACATAAAAGTTCATTACATAGAATATTACCATCACTCATTGGTGACCTCCTGCAAAGGATCATCACATTAATTATTCACCATCACCAAGATCATGATATCACTGCACATACACATTGCTTGATTAAATTATATGGAAAATGTAACAAAAATTTAAATATAAATATATGCCATTTTATGGGTTGAACAAGCTGTGAAAGATTGTGTGTTGGCGATCAAGGCCAGCATCAGTCAACACCTGATGCCAACTTTGCTGACAATGTTGTATGAGAAACATCACTCCAGTGTTCACCTTCATTCTTTCTGTGCTCACTTATATCTTGTTTTCAATTATTTACTATAGTAAGTGTGTTGAATAACTTGATTTATGTGCACTTAATTCAGAAAAACTAGTACTAGTGTATGCTTCAGTACTTTTTAACATATGGTGTACTTCATTATAACCTTATATTATTAAATACACAAATTTAGAGTTTGGCAGTGCATGGCGCCTGCCTCATCTGTGAGAGCTCTGTCAATGAAACACACTGCTCCAAGCCACATGTTCTCATTATTGACCCCTGGATGTTTAGATGATCAATCGTATATATATATAATAGGAGCAATAAAAATATAAAGGGTCCCGATAGTACAGTGGGGTTCCTTCTCGACTGACAATTGGGAATTTCGGGTTTGAATGCCAGGTGGGACAGAAATGGTTGGATGTGTTTCCTATCATCTAATACATCTGTACACCTAGCAGTAAGTAGGTACCCAGGTGGTGGTCAGCTTGTTGTGTGGTTCTCATATCGAAGGGGGACTTCGATATAAGTCTCACTTGTATACATGTATATACACTGGCTGCTTGTATCCAACACAAAACTATTACTAATATTATAAATATATGAGGCTGTTCCTATTTATATTGATGTAAATACATATAGGAGCTTCCTCATATGGGACTATGAGGCAGCTCCTTTTTATATTGATATAAATAGTTGCCTTATACACTACAGTCCTATTGGACCATATGAGGGAGCTCATATATATATCGTTCGTATAAATGGGAACTGCCTCATATAGGCCTGTTGGACCATATGTGGAAATTCCAATTTATATTTATATAAATAGCTGCTGCCTCGTATGGGCCAATAGGTCTTCTGTAATTCCTTTTCTACTGTATTTTGTTCAAATTATATTTGGTTACCTGGTCCTAGTATACTTCATTACAATCATATAGAGTAGTGAGAACACTATGTATTATATAATGAAATTTTATACAATGACGATTACCACATTAGTATAGTAACATTTGGGACGATAACTGCATTTACATAGCAAGGTAATCATGAAATAATAGCATGATTTGTTCACATGTCAAGGTAAACTCCATGACATCCATATAGAGTTATTATATCCATATCAGCATCATCTGAGTACAAACCCACTCACCAAAGACGTAGTTGAAATCAACGTATGATAACTGCATTACCCTGTGAATCAACATATGATTAATTATTCTAAACCAGGTAGGGAAAGAGAAGGTATAAGGTATATAGAAGAAAAGGTTAAATAAATAAAAGTGAGCAAGTTTGGAGAGTGCAGGCTGAGAGTACAAATGGGTTGCAGTGGTTCAAAGTAAATATTGCTCAAGAAATTAAAGCATAAAGAGATAGATGGGGCTGGTTATAAATGGTTTATGCTGTAGCAGTTTTTGTTCAGTTTTCTATCGAGTTCACAGATTAACCAGGATTAGTCGGCTCTTCCAATGCAGTACAGTATAGTCGGCTCTTCCAATGCAGTACAGTATAGTCGGCTCTTCCAATGCAGTACAGTATAGTCGGCTCTTCCAATGCAGTACAGTATAGTCGGCTCTTCCAATGCAGTACAGTATAGTCGGCTCTTCCAATGCAGTACAGTATAGTCGGCTCTTCCAATGCAGTACAGTATAGTCGGCTCTTCCAATGCAGTACAGTATAGTCGGCTCTTCCAATGCAGTACAGTATAGTCGGCTCTTCCAATGCAGTACAGTATAGTCGGCTCTTCCAATGCAGTACAGTATAGTCGGCTCTTCCAATGCAGTACAGTATAGTCGGCTCTTCCAATGCAGTACAGTATAGTCGGCTCTTCCAATGCAGTACAGTATAGTCGGCTCTTCCAATGCAGTACAGTATAGTCGGCTCTTCCAATGCAGTACAGTATAGTCGGCTCTTCCAATGCAGTACAGTATAGTCGGCTCTTCCAATGCAGTACAGTATAGTCGGCTCTTCCAATGCAGTACAGTATAGTCGGCTCTTCCAATGCAGTACAGTATAGTCGGCTCTTCCAATGCAGTACAGTATAAGTGGAAAAAGTTTTTGTAAATTTCCTTACAATTTTTTGTCTCTTGTACCTTCAAGTGTATTTAAAATTCATTGTTCATATGTAAATTTTGTTGTTTATATATTTTCACAAACATGTTTTTTCATTTGTGGCCAGGAAAAAGTAAAAAATAGAAAATCATAAATCATATAAAATAGCAAAACACTCAGAACAGGAATTCTTGGTAAATTGGAACAAGTCTGCTTTCCATTTTGAGCAAGGTGTCACTGTACTGGCACGATTCCTTTATAAATAAGTGATATGTCTCACGGTGTTGATTGATTTGAGTGTAGCATAATTATGGACTGCTAGTTTTTGGTTAATACCCCTGTAGTTATCATTTTGAATATTATTTAACCCATCCAATGAAATGTTGGAAGTTGGGTATTGGTAATATTTTTTGTTGTAATGTGAATTAGGCTGTTATACATTTGTACAATTTAACATCAATGCTTGCAGATCCAATCTGTATTGTTTAAATATACATTATCTACAATATAGCTCATGATTCAAGTGTAAATGATGCAGTATTTTTGTCCTACAGTGGCTCTCAAACACCCGGTGAATGGGCTGTACCACAAGCAAGTAAGTTGAAGTATACACAGGTGTTCAACATGTCAGACAGAGCAAAGACAGGATTTCTGTCTGGGGTACAGGCAAGAAACATTCTGATTCAATCTCATCTGCCTCAACAAACATTAGCACAGATCTGGTGAGTATTTACAGGGTGTAGAACAAGTGTTCTTTTTTATATGAAAAATAGTTTTTTCACATACCTTGGATTGGCATAATATATATAGATGTACAGTATGTACGTACGTACGTATGTATGCATGTATAGTAATGCATGTCAAATGTTACCATGACCATAGCTTTCATTCTGTAACTACACTTAGGTAATTACACAAGTGCATGCACACTTTGTTTGAGTATACCAATATATTTAAACCATTGTATTACTTTTAATAAACACAAGTTTTGATGTTGTGTAGGGCACTGTCTGATGTTGACAATGATGGACGTCTGTCATGTGAAGAATTTGTACTAGCTATGTACTTATGTGAGTCTGCTAAAGCTGGAAGCAAACTACCAACACAGCTGCCAGCAGAGTTGATCCCCCCCACCAATCGCCGTCAAAGAACCTCCAGTATTCACTCAACCAGCTCAGCAGGCACGCCTGTTACTGATGTCTTAGGAGCAGTTAATGATAGTAAGTCCTTCATTAGCTACAGTACTGAATAATGTATTATAATTGGCCTCTTTTTAAGCAATTTTTTCGTGTACATGATTCTGTAGCTGGAAAATTAACTATACACTACTTCATAATGATAAAGTATGTACTATAAAGTACACAATTTATTTCTGATTGTTTCTTATTTTTGAAAACTTGTGGAAATAAGCTTATTACAGTAGACTTGTAGATTTGGAGCCTTGGTGTGATATTTAGACTTGGCAGAACTAGTGCTTAAATACCCGGGGGAACTCTCGAGGGCATACCAGAAAAGGAGGGTAGAAATATTCTTAGCTACTTTATCCTTTTGGGAGGTATTTTATTATCTCAATAAACTTGAAATTGATATCGAAAAAGGACATTTTATTACTTAGTTTTTTATTATATCTGATGATGGTTAGCATTCACAACTAAAACAAAATTTTATAAATATCACCAAACCTTCTGTTTCAGACACATTTGAAGACAAAAGACGGGAGAATTTTGAGAAGGGACAAGCTGAGTTAGAAAGAAGACGCAAGGCTCTTCTGGATGCTCAAAGACGGGAAACTGAGGAGAGACTTCGCCGGTGTGTTTTATAACTATTTTAACTTGGTTAAATGAAGTTAAAAACAATTAGTCTATATTTAAGGAAGCCATATGTTGACACTATAAATGCATATTTTTGCGATATGTTATTCTGCGATATTTTGGCAAGAATTTCTGAAACTGATTTGCTCTGCAATATAGTTTCACATACATTGTTGTATAGTTTTAATGATTAATCACTAACACTTTTGTCTTGTATATCACAAGTCAAAAGCTAAGTACCTGTCTTTGTTATTATTTTAGCAGTAAACTGGAAATACAGTAATTGAACAACCATATAATGACTCCAAGAAAGATTTACCTCGGGTGGAAAATGGCTGTTTATATAAATTTATTAAAACACTGTTGTACACATGTTTATGTAAAACATCAGCAAAAGATTAAAATGTGAGAATTCAGTGACTTGGTTTTTGCAAAATATGTTAGTTTATTTGATAAAAAGGATGCCATCTGTGTTTGGTAATAATTGCCTCATCTGGACTTGAAATTGAAATGTATTCTTGTCTGCACTTCTAAATCAATCATACCTGTAGTTCAATGTAATATTCCTCTTGTTGGTGATTATGAAACTACTGTACTATACATTACTAACAGAGAACGTGAAGAGGAGGCTAAAAGGGAAAAGGCCCGTCAAGAAGCTGAGCGTCGAAGACAAGAGGAGCTAGAACGTGAAATGCAACGGCAACGAGAGATGGAAGCACAACGAGAACAAGATAGAAAACGGCAGGAAGAGCTAAGGGAACAAGCACGCAAGTTCGTATATATTGTATGCTCTAAATGTTTTATGCAGTACTAAGTTTAACAAAAATCAGAAGCACAGAATAATTAGATAATTTTAAGCATAATATTCTGTAGCAAGTCTTTTTAATTTAAATTTGAAATACATAAATATGACCATATTGAAAATGGGCACTATAGCCCTCTTGTGCCCATTTTAAAGACTGGTCAAAATAACTGTTTTGAACAGTCTTAAAGTTGAAAAGAATCGGCTGTTCTCTTGAATGATAAATCACATTTTGACGTCAAAATTCCCAGTGGACAAAATATGTTGTGCTGTACTGTAATTCATAGCAGCTCACAAACATTTATGTTTCCTATGCATGAGTTGCTTGGTTAAGTTAGGGTAGGCTTGAGTGTTTTGGTACGCTTTTTTTGTCCGTTGTGGTAACTCGAAAGAACGACGTGAATTATTACCTACATTGCGGGATATTTGTTTCTACTGGATGTTGTGACAATTAATTGGTGAACCTTCATCAAACTTGTTACATACTATACATTCGTACCTTGGTGCCTAATGATGAACTGTTCAGTCTCTTAAAATTCAAGGTTCACACATATTTTGCACTTGGCAATTTTTGCCTTTGCACTAATGTAATTTAATCTATATAAAGCAGGGCATTGAGAGAATGTACTGTTATTAAATACTGCTATTGTTAAATTTCATAAAAAATAGTATATAATTTTTTCAAATTCTCGTCTACAATTTTAAAAGTAGTAACTACAGTATTATTAAGACAATGGCTACTTATAAATGTTTTGTATAATTGTCAATTGTTTTCATATCTTCCAACAATTCATGAAAGTTTCCATTTCTCATTTAATGTTACCTCATAACAAATGTTCATTTTGTTTCATTCTTGTTTACATTAGGCCCTCATTAAAAGCTGTATATCATTTGCAATTTTGTTTAACTGTGTTTTCTTACTCGTTTAATATTAAGTGTCTACTTATTTTTGTTTGATGAAGTGTCTACTGCATCAAGCCTTTATACAGCCTTACTGAATTCTTTTAAGATATGCCCAAAACACTTGGCATATTAGTGGCCTTATTAAATATACTGCACATTGTAACAATTATTAGGGCAATGTATATTATTCTTTTGTATGTTAGTTATTAGTTAGTTATTATTATTTAATAATTTATTAAGTTATTATTATTATTATTATTATTATTATTATTATTATTATTATTATTAAATGATGTGCATCTTTCTGACCCTGTACCTCAGCTGCTCCCTTGAGCTAGCAGTATATGTGGGTTCACGAAGGGACACAATTTGCTCATGAAATTCTAATGACTTGTTTATTCACTATAACAAATAACTAACGAATAATTGGTGGATCTTAACTCGAGCCACTGTCCAGATACTAACTGTTATATACAATGACAAATATTCTCCACAAACCTTTTTCAAGCAAATATTGACAACAAATATTGTCAAACTGGCAGCAGTTGGCAGCACAACAGGGTGAGTGGAGTTGGCAACCTCACTTGTTGCTTAAGCCTCATGTTTCAGGTAATGGGATCAAAAGGGAGGGAGCGGGATCATCCAAGGGACAGCTCAGAAAGGTGCATTTCATATCACATTATGCCAAATTTCTGATATTGTACTTTTAATAGGTAATCCCAACAGATCCTGCACTTGTTAACGAAGTGTAAGTTTCTTCCTAGGTGATATTTGTCTTCTGTTTATAATTTTAATTAATTGCTTTTCTCAAAATTTACTGATACTGTAAGGTTATGGTCATTTCCACCAGGGATGCTGAACTTCAGAGGCATCAAGAATGGGAAAAGCAACGACTTCAGGAATTAATGAACGTAAGGCAGCGTCAACAAGAAAATCTCTTGTCACTGAAGGCTAAAAATCAGAGTTTGTCTATAGAACTTACAACAAAGGTTAGTTTTGAATGGTGAAATGTTCAAAGGATCTTCCCATATCTTCTTGAGGGGACATATAAAATCAAATCAAATCAAAATATTAAGCCAAAATATTTTATTTAGTAGTAATTTTGTCTCATTTGACAGCTTAAACATGTACATTCTCTTGGTACCCAAGGTGAAACTCCATCTGACCTGTTGGGATTATGCTTAAATGTAAGAGCAATTTATTTTATATTATGTCTAGACACATTAAATTTATGCTTCAAATTGCGCAAGTGGTGGTGTTATGAATGTAATATTTTCCTAACACACTTTGAAACAATTAATTTTCCTTCATTTCCATCTGTCTCCATGAATTTGTTACACCTTCTAAATTATAGATTTTATCCTTCAAAAGTAGTTTACTTTTATAGTAAAAGATAGTTGGCTGGGTTTTATTTTGCATTTTTCAGTGTCATGTAATGGTTTTTGGACTTTTAATTTGTTGTGCATTAGGTTTATGTGCAAGTTTAAATTTATTTGGGAAGCTAGACAACGTTACTGCCATCACTATTTATTTGTATTAAACCAAAATCTTCGATTATTTCCAGGAGGATAGATTAAAGGAACTAACGCAAAAAATCAGCGAGACTCGCCAGGGAGTGACAGAAGTGAAAGCAACCATTGATACAATGCGGTCTACTCGTGATACTTACATGTCGGACATGAATCATCTCAAAGCAGCAGCACGAGACCAGAATCAGAGGTAAGTAATTTTTCAATATATTGCAGTAATTTTTCAGTATATTGCAGTAATTTTTCAGTATATTGCAGTAATTTTTCAGTATATTGCAGTAATTTTTCAGTATATTTGCAGTATATTTTTGCAGTGGTAAAAGAAAATCTTCATTGAATTGGAAAGTGAAGATTGTGGTGACGGATGTTTTATATTATGCATTATCATCATAATTTTTATTGCCCTGTTTCCTACTTAGGGTGGGTAGGCATCAACATTGATTAAATAGGGCAGTAGTATAGGAAAAGAAAGATGGATACAGTATTAAGAAATTACCCCAATCCATTCAAATATTCAGTTTTCATGAATACCAAGTCCAGTATTACTGGCATCTCATCTTTCCTGATTTGAAGGGTGTCTATTACATACTGGTATAGGAAAGCTTCTTTGTTTATATTAATTATTGTGTGCATTCTTCCTTGAATATGTGTTACTGGAGAGAGAGGTATGTTAAAGTATGCATATGATACAAAAGCAATAAGAGGAATTGCTGGAGGTTTCCATGATCATGTGCCAATGCTGTGTAAAATATGACCAAGTGGCAAAAGAGTTCTCATATCTCACAAGGATCCAGGAGGTAAATAAGAAATTTCAAATGTTGCATGAAAACAAGTTGTTCAGTGTGTGTATATGGAAGAGTTGATAGTGATATTGGAATGATAGAACAAGCAAATGAACCTCGTTGATGTGATGTTTACAAAATGTTTGGTTAATAAAACTATGGAAGTGTTTAGTGTTGCACAAACTGGTGTAAGAATGAAAGGAACTGTTTGGTTTGGTGAAACCAGACAGACTGATAAGAAAATAAGTGGATTTTTTAAATAGAATGTGAGGGGGCAAGAAAATGGCAATATAATGAGTTAAAGGTGTGTAATTACCTAAGGGTAATTACCTAAGTGTAGTTACAGGATGAGAGCTACGCTCGTGGTGTCCCGTCTTCCCAGCACTCTGTCATATAACGTTTTGAAACTACTGACGGTCTTGGCCTCCACCACCTTCTCCCCTAACTTGTTCCAACCGTCTACCACTCTGTTTGCGAAAGTGAATTTTCTTATATTTCTTCGGCATCTGTGTTTAGCTAGTTTATATCTATGACCTCTTGTTCTTAAAGTTCCAAGTCTCGGGAAATCTTCCCTATCGATTTTATCAATTCCTGTTACTATTTTGTATGTAGTGATCATATCACCTCTTTTTCTTCTGTCTTCCAGTTTTGGCATATTTAATGCCTCTAACCTCTCTTCGTAACCTCTCTTTAAACCAGCAAGCCAGGTTCTGGCTTGTGGTTTAAAGACCGTGGAAAAACAGTTTACCACAACGCTGTAAATGCTTCACCTGCGTACTATAAATACAAATAATCGCCAACAGAATCTAAACACCTAACCTAACCTAACCAGGGCCTAAATATGCACAATATGGTAGTATAAAATAATAATAATTTAGTTTTGAGAAAATTCCTGTTTTGAATGAACAGCATGTTCAAATTTATGAAAGTGTCTTTAGGGTCGACCACTGGATGGAATGGACTTGGTCTGAGGACAGGTGGCTTGGTTTCAGGTGCTGCTGGCTCGGTGTCCAAACCCGGGATGTTTTCTGTGGCTCCACTTTTTTCAGCAGATCCAGTACATGGCTGGTTTGGTCTACTCTGCTCTTCTCGTCTGGTCTTTTTGATGCGGGTGTATCACAACTTGTATGGTGATCAGGTGGCATTGTTGATGGTGTCCCACCTGGAAGCTTCATCTCAGCAACAGTATGAAATTTCCTGGCGTTCTTGTCACCATTTTCTTTTTCTTCGTAGGTTGTCTTCTATTTCTGATCAGGTTGTTTTGTCCTTTCATAGCTTTTTCAGGACCGTCATTTGATGCCATATACTGTCACCTCTTATCGTGCGACACTGGCGGAGCCGCTTCAGCTTGCGTTCAGGGGTGGATGTCACTTGTGCTCTGTTTCGTAAGCTTTCTCGTGCCTTGTTTCACCTCTGGCCTACTCATGCGCTGCCTGAGCCATCCTGGTCCTTGGACCGGGTGCTCTCTTCTCTATCTTCTCCTCTGTTTGTAGTAGCTTCTTCGTTTCAAGATTGTTTTTCCAAGGCGCTGTTTCTGTTGGCATTGGCCTCTTGGGGGGTCGGGTTGGGAGCTTCACGCTCTCCTCCGGCGTAAGGGTTTCTGCTCTTTCAGTCCTGGTGGTCGGTTTGTTTGTTTGCAGCCATCTCCTTCTCTTCTTTGTGAAGAACAAGATGGCGGCTTTCCAGAGGAGCCTCTTGGGTCACTGATGCTTGGTTGGTCAGGCCAGGGGTGCATGATGTGTTCTGTCTGGTTGCGGCTCTTCGCCGTTCTTTGTGCGCCTCGGCTTCTGTGGCCGGGGACACGTTTTGGGTTGATCCGGTTTCCCTCCTTGTCAGTTCCAGGGCTTGAATCTCCCAGGTTGTCAAGCCAGCCTACGGTCTGTCCTCGTGCCCATGACGTTTGTAAGTTTGCTGCTTTGGCTGCCATGTTCAGCAACATGTCTTGGGCTGACATTTGGGCACAGGGGTTTTGGAGGTCGAACAGGGTCCTGGCCACCCATTATTTGATAAATATTCCTGGTCCCAGTCGTTCGTGAGTGGATTTGGGTTGCAGGTTGCAGCCAATTTTCTCAACTTCGAGTTGAGGAGCGAGTGGCGGCTGCCTCCCGTGTAAGTCCCTCTTTTACTTGTCTTTGGTTAGGTAGCTCCAGGGAGCTGGAGGGGCTTTCCATAGAAAACCAGTGTTGAATGTAATGAAACTCCATTTTCTGGGTGAACCCCAAGAAAAGCTCTTTGGCACCCTCCCTCCCTTCCTCCAGTCGGTAGTTTTCCTTTTGTTTTGATGTTCAGCCTCCTAACTGGAGGTGTAAGTAGCCGGTGTGGTGGGGTCCAGGGCTCCCTCTCCCCATCCCGGGGAGGGGAGGACTGCGCAGACAAGCGGCGCAGCGGCGGTGTGTGATATTTGCTTGGTTGCTTGTTTCTTTAGGTTGTGGGAGTTCTGCATCTCTGTTCGTTCTTTGATTGCAAATTTTTTCTTACCATGTGGGGTCTGTTTTGTTATGCCTACCTTTCTGGGTGCTAACCTCGGTCGATGGCAGACATGGAATGCCCCCAAGTACAAGGGGGTTTTCAAAGGCCATCGCTTCCTTTGCCTCTCTGAGGGGGCCAGGTTCTGGCTCGTGGTCCCTGGTAGGCTGAACTCCAATTGACTGATGCCCCTGACTAATATAACGTATATCAGTCTGATAGCTCCAGGGTGCTTCCAAGGTTTATCCAGAAAATGGCGTTTCATTACATTCAACACTGGGTTTATCTGGAGTGTTGCCTCCCAACCCCTTAAAATGGGATGATAATTATGTATGTTGGTTTGGCCTAGGAGCCTTGCAGCCTGGTATCTGACCAGACCACCAATCCGGTGGCCTGGTCAGATTGATACCAAGCTGCAAGGATATTGATCCTTAGAATCCATGGTAACGTCAGAATAAGGTAACCTCAAAGTATGGCTAATATCATCAGTGGATGAGTGTATCCGTAACTTTCTTTACCTATATTACTCCTCTTTCTCTCTAAACTAATGTCTTCCCTGTCTACGGAAGTGGAAAACATGATAACAATAATAATAATAATCATATTAATTATTATATTATCTATTGTATGCAGCTTTTCATGATAAACACATGTTTTTTACATGTGCTTTTAAATCCCAGATTGTTAAGTGATTTTTTTGTTGTGTTTTCATCCTGTGTGTAGGTTATTGGCCCTTAATCAGGAAAAGGCTCGCTTGAAGGCACGGAATACAGCAGCTGCTGGAGCTAGTGGAGCTGAACAAGCAGCAGTTGATGCTTCATTTACAAGCAAACAGATGGTTATAAAGCAGCTGCAGGAGAAGGTTGAAGAATTACAAAAAGAGGTAATGATTGCTGAAATTTATAATTCTGTAACTATAACCGTTTATATAAGAGTAACAAAAGTTTATACAGCACTTTATACCTATGACCTCAGCCATTAATATGATATCAAAATCCACTGTTGACTGTAATGAAGTGCCTCTTTCTGGTAGAACCCCTTTGGCTTCCTGTGGCTCTCATTGAGAAGGCTCTATATTATGTCACATCAGTTGCAGGAGTTCTGTTTGATCTACTGGAGACCAGAGCCAGAACCTGGCCACCCCACCTCACAGAGGTGCAGAAAGCAAATGACATTCTGCCCTTTCACTGGAAACACATCCAGAAAGTCGGAGAAACTTTACAAACAACTGCTGGCTTTACAAGACTTGAAGCCTCAAAAACTGGGTAACAACTCCCCAAACGATTCAAACGAAACACAATAATGTGCTCCAAACTAGGTCGAACCTGTTAGTACTGATTGCCACCATTAGGCAGCCTGGAGCTTAGCCTGCCACCAACTAGTCAGCTAGTTCTGGAGCAGATAAAAACCACCACAATGAACTGACGAACCTGGAAAGAAGAAAGGGAGATAAGTAGCCACCAGGGTATTACCAGAAATAGATGTTTGTTGCATTCAGAGCTGAGTTTCTGAGGGATTTCTTTCGTGGCTCCCTGTAGCTAAATAACCAAAGAGAAAAAATAGGGACTTACCAGGAAGGAGAGGTGGCGGGTAATAATTCGATGGAGAGGCCATTGGGTGGGAAACACGGCCCATGACAACAAGGACCTGATGAGGACCAGGGGCATTGACTAAATACCTGGCTGCTAAAACCCTCGAGCTCTAATATCTACCCAAGACATATTAGAAAAGATTGCCAAGAGAACAAAGTACAGTACTGTCTACTCTCCCTAATCTGGATCATATAGGGCCCACCTCTCTCTGAGTTAGTCAGACGTTCAATCTCTCTCTTAAGACTGACCGACCACGTCCGTCCATGAGAGAGAGAAAGGGGGGGGGGGGGCACATGCATATACATGTATGTATATACTCACCTATTTGTGCCTGCAGGATCGAGCTCTAGCTCTTGGACCCTACTTTTCTAGGTGTTCGTTGTCTAATACAATGACTCCTGGCCTATTTCATGTATGTATGTGCGTGCATGCATATATTTGTATTTATGCATGTGTAAGCTGGTTAGCATTGCATTTCATCTTTGTAAATGAACATTAAACACATTGTGTAAAACAACATACCTTGAACACTGTTTATGTTTGATAGACTTTAAATATATGTATTTATGTATGTAGGTTAGCATGTTGACCAGATCACACACTAGAAGGTGAAGGGACGACGACGTTTTGGTCCGTCCTGGACCATTCTCAAGTCGATTGTGTCTCAAGTCATATTCGTCTTGAGAATGGTCCAGGATGGACCGAAATGTCGTCGTCCCTTCACCTTCTAATGTGTGGTCTGGTTAACATACTTTAGCCATGTTATTGTGACTCATTGCCTGCATAAGTTAGCATTTTAAAAGCACTACAATCACCTTCTGTGTTTGACTGTTCAATAAATCACTGAACTATATGTCAGACATATCTCTAACCCTGTCCATGGAGGACAGAAGAAAATGTGTATATGCTGGTTAGCATTATAAATGTGTGGCCACATCTGTGGTAGAAAAAAATCTACTATCCATTTGTCTTCAATAATTACCCAGTAGTGGGGGTGGTAGTGGTATTACCACCTAGTGGTGGTTGTAGCATGAAATAATGTCACGTGAGGTAATTTTTAGTATTTCCCATTATTTCTGCACATTATATCCTAGGGTATACGAGGGTATACATATCTAAAATTAAAAAATAATGGATGAATCAACAGAATTGAAATGTATGTCTAAAAGTAATGGATGTAACAATACATGGCATCCATAATATAAATTAAATAGTTGAAAGGTAATTACAGCAACTGCCTAGAGCTCCCAGATAGTGTTGGCCCAATTAGCGCCTATGTTTTAGATGTTAGGATTTGACCAAGGTCGGCTTTTTTTTTTTTCATAATGTATTAATTTTCTGTTCCTATTGTCTTCTGTTCATTCTAAAAATGTACATCCTCACGAAATAAATGTAGGAAATATGATGATGAAAACTTACAGTATGATCAAATTTTGGTACAGTAATATTAATAATAGGAAATATATTTCAGTTATCATCAAAACAAGAAGATGTCAACAATAATATAAGTGATCTTTCTTTAATGAAAGAAGACATGCACGAAACAGCAGAAAGGTGTGCAAAAATATTCATCGAATATTCTGCAAAACGAAAGGAGGTATGTTTTTCCTTAGTTTTACGCCTAACATTTTAGATAAGCTTCTTGAATACATTTGTTATGTCTTTGGAGGGTTTTTTGTTTTCAGTTTGATTTCTCAAATACCATATTTGCTCTACCCTAGAAAAAAAATACTCCTATTAGTTTATATTCTCCTAAGTGTTCCTCATATTAGTCTTAAACATTTGTATTTTACCCTTGTATTGTATCAAGTTTAAGGAATTTATTTTACTTTATTTGTTAAGTTGATGTTTAGATGACATTCTAGTTATATTGTGCCACTTGTCAAACCTTTTTGCTTTTATATTGTCGCCTTGTAAGAGCATTTTGATAATTATGGAAAGTAATATTGTATTCCATTTTCTGTATCTTGTAAAATACCCTTTGCATTTATTTTGTGATATTTGCTATTATTTACTTAGCCCCAGTATGGGTTACATTGTTTTGGTCATGATTGTTTTCTTAGTGATTTGCCTGAGATATCTTGAGTATACCCCTTGCATTTTGACATAAAATGTGACATAAAATGTGCATGATGTTGATATAAAGGTTCAATTAATACTGCACTATTTAAACTTATAGGAGGCAATTTTTAAAAACTTTTATATATCTAAATTACCAGAGCATCCCTTGTGCTGAGTAGAAGTTACATTATTGATATAATGCATCATTTATTTTTTTGGAGCCAGTGTTTTGTATACCAGTTGGCACTAAATGTTCTAATTGCATTTCATAAATGTTGGTGTATCATCCAACATCCCCAGAAGGCACCAACTTGGCACCTCTAGAGCCATAATGGGGAGGTGCCCTTTGTTTAGGTCCTGCACTAGATAGACTGTTAACACTATCGCTTACAGATAACGGTTATGACGACCTAAAATAATTTCCGTTTTCCCGAGGACCGTAGTGCCGTCCAAAATTAAAATATACATGTATAGAAATTCCATTGTCCGATTATTATGAAGTTTGTTTTAAACTGCAACTTCTTCCCATTCTCTGTGATTATACATGGATGTACATAATGCTTTTGTGTTATACAAGTACCAGTACTATACAGCTGATACCAAGAAACTCGCATTTCTCCCTTTCTACGTAGTAGTAGGCATCCATCAGTCTCAGGAGACTATGAAGTTGCGCTCTGGTTGTCGGTCTGGAGTGACCTCACCAGGGCGCAAAGCTAGGGTAGGTTGATTCGGGGGAGAAGCTGTTACCCAGGCAGTAGTAGAAGTAGTCATCTATAAATCCATCAACTTTTGTATTTCACCTTGTATGTATGTACTTTACCTGAATAAATATTTGTATTTGGTCACTAGTATACTTTGAATATAAGGATTATCCTCTCAAAAATGACATCATACATGCTGGTGATGAACATGAGGATGGCAGCAGTTCTACTAGTGACAGTGTTGCAACACCTGGACCATCAGGTGTGAGGCCGCCACTCTTCTTTACCTTTATGTGTTTTATCTTGTGGTATTGGTAGCGGTGTTCTTATATTTGTTCTTATATGTAAATATTCCTTTAGAGCATTCTGTTGTGAACAATTTTATACCAAATTGTAAGGTGTAGCATGAAAATTGAGGTAAGAAAGCTGAAAGGGTTATAATCATCGCTCGGGCTACTTTGGGGTGCGCGGCAGCCCGCCCGCCGTGGATGTGAAAGTGTTAATCAGTATCTCATATTGTACTTCAGGAATGAGTAGATAAATGGCTAGTGGAATTCAATCAAATTAAGTATAAGGTAATGAAGGCGGGAAAAAGATATAGGAAAGAAACTACACCACTACTATAAAAATAAAAAACCAACCTCTTGATTTCTTCCAAAATGGGACTATTGATTTTTCAAAGTGTCCGAACTGTTTCTCTCAGGTCAAGCTATCCAATGACTTTTTTTTTTTATCTACAAAGCCACTAAGAAAATATAGGTCAATGTTAATTAAGCAACTCTCCAGTTTTCCTAAAAAGCTTGGTGAAGCACACACCATATTCTGGTCCACCAAATATTTATCTGTTGGCCAACTCCTGGTTCACCAAGTGTTCCATTCAGCTGTGAACCATTTGAGCAAGGGCCCCACTTTACAGTACAAGTACAGTAAATTTAATAAATAATACATTATTTTGAATTATAATTATTGTACTGGACTACTAAATAGTAAGAATAATAAAAAAAGAGAAGAGGTTATGATCGTCTGGAAATTACTTTATTTAAAGTTTGTATTTCACCACTTTATCTTTTTGAATAAAGTTTTTGGAAGAATTTGTTACGGAGGTCCAAATTTTAAGGGGTCATACTATAGTTACCTGAGGGTCATGATGTCTGTGTAGCTTTGTTGCTAGCAATACTCATTTAACTCCAGGAAGTGGTAATGAAAGGATTAGCTCCTCTTTTTTTTTTTTTTTTAAATATATGAGCTCATGAATACTATATTTATAGGTGCTGAGGCTACGTGAGAAGCTAGTGAATCCAGATGCAGCGTGGGGTGATGCTGCCAGCTCAACTTGGGCAGGTAAAGGGTTTGGCAGTGGTGGGGCTAGTGCCTGGAATAGTGCATGGCCCCCCAGTCAGCCCAAAGATGCATGGCCCAGTAGCAGAGCTGATGGTAGTGAGGCCCCCACCAGTAGTCTACAGCCTCTGCAGGAGCAACAGCAACATGCAACAGAACAACAACCTCCAGCACGTCCCCCGCCCCCTTCCACAACCACCACTACCACCACCACCATGCCCTTTATGGCTGCTACTGGCACTTTAAAAGAGAAGCCGGCAGTACCCCCAGCCCCCCGGGAAGTTGAAGGCTTCACTACCACCAACTCCACTACCATCAACAACAGTACCAGTGCTGTGGGCTGGGGGATCCACAAAACCACACCCCCTTCTTCCTCCACTACCACCACAGCCCCTTGGGGGGTGTTCTCCACCACTTCCACCACTACCACCACCACCACCACTACTACCACCCCATCTACCACTTCCACTACACACCCAGGTATACCCTCCAATACACATTCATCATCATCCTTCCTATTTGTCTTACATTATTCATGCTGCTCGATTCTTTCTTGGAGTGGTTATTGGAGATCTTATTGGTGCCTTACCATGTTATTCATTTATTTCTATCTTTCTCCTGAACTAATGACAATACTAATACCCAGTTTGTCTTGGAATATACAATAGAAAAGGTGATTAAATTTTCATATTGCACAATTTATTACATATATTTACATTTGGATTAATTTTTTAGAACACCGTATGCACTGTTTACATTCATTTAAGCATATTTATTTATATTAATCATAACGTATAGTGTTGAAATACCGTATATTTAAATGCATGTGTAAGGTTACACTAAGATTTTTTTTGATCTTGAGAAAGCACCAAGCAGTATAGCAGGTATAGGACTCAAATTTCATGGTTACTTATGCCCTTTAATTAAATTCTTTTATGAATAATATATATTACAACACTGTAGGGCAAAAAATTTTCAGTAAAATCATCAGTTGCTAAATTTAACATTATTTTTATAAATTTATTCTCACATAGTTACCCAGCTGAAAGCAGCATAAGTTGCAGAGAATTAATCTCATAGATATCAATTTAATCTCTCCACATGACTAGTGGAGTACCTTCTTCCTGAATTTCCTATATTTTTCCTCAGAAACTGTAAGTAGTGTGATGGACCATGAATTAAATACTTTTGAGCACACACAAATATTATGGAAAAAGTAAGAGAGTTTTGGCTTGGATTAGAGAGATAGGGAATCTATCACTAACTTTAATTGTCATCTTATTTGTTATTGTTTCTTAAAAATATTGGGAGGTCAAGAGTACAATTTTTTAATTTTAAGTTTGCCGAGCTTACTTGCAGGAATAGTTTTCACATACTTAACAGAAGTGCTGTCAATATTACAGTATCGTTAATCAATATAATCTGTCGAGTGTTTGTGCTTTCTAGCAAAATTAAATAAGAAGAAATTATTTGCCATGTATTTTGTTCTATTTGCAATTTTCTTCTGATCCTTCTACGTAAAAGATTTGAATAACTAATTGAAAGATCAATATATTAAATCAGCAGACCACAAATATTACAGTAAGTTCATATGTGTTCTAATTGATGAATGCATTTATATTGATGACCAGACCACACACTAGAATGTGAAGGGATGTCGACGTTTTGGTCCGTCCTGGACCATTCTCAAGTCGATCCACTTGAGAATGGTCCAGGACGGACCGAAACGTCGTCGTCCCTTCACATTCTAGTGTGTGGTCTGGTCATCATACTTTAGCCACGTTATTGTGACTCATCGCCTGCAAATGCATTTATATTATTATGTATATATTATGTCTGCTTCCTAGCGAAGGAAACTCGAGTTGGGTCTGTTTGAAATGATTATGTCTTTGAAAGTCTTTTGACATGAACATTTTTTATCATGAATTTTTGATTGTGGGTATAAAAGTACATTATCATACATTGTAGTGTGTGTTGGCAGCACTGTTGGCATTTATCTTCATGTCTTGTTATGTAGTGAAAGTATCCTCAAGTTGACCATGTTCAGATGAAATCTTCACTAAAATATTTTCGTTAGTTTCAAAATGAAAATTTTGTTATATTTGAATTTGTATAATATTAAAATTATGAAATGTTATACATTTTTAGTACAGGTAATTGATTTTGAAGCATATATATAAAATTAAATCTAGTTAATTATATATTTTTCCTCAGTTTTTCTTGAATACTGTATATAATTTCTTATTATTAAACGTTTTTTATTTCAAGTTTTACTTAGATTATAGTCAAATATGCTAAGTAAGGCTGTTTGAAATTCCTGCTAATTACTAAAATATATATATTAAAGAAATTTTAGGCAAATGGTCAGAAGCCATTTTCACTCTTGACTACCCATGCATGACATGCCACTTCAAAATGTGTTGCTCTTGGAGAAGCAATTGTTGCCTCCTCATCCCAAGCCAAAAGACCTCTTGTTTTTTCCAGTTGCTCATAACCGTATTGAAGGATTAGTTATGGCTGATTGTGCTAACAGTTGGGGGAGAATTTAGATTCACTTACATTACCGAATTACTGTGAGTGGTATTTGCTTTTAATAATTAAAACGAGGCCATTCCTTAAAGGACAGTGGAACATATATACTGTTTGCTTTGTTCAGCCATCGTTACTCCTAGAATCAGATGGTCATAATATAAGACAACCCATAATATTTAAGGGAGATGCAGGACCACAGAAGAGGGAAACATCACTTTTTGTTCGCAAATTTGATATCATCTGACTAATCTCACTTTCATATATTTTATTTTATAGCAGTGTTGCTTCAAAAGCAATAAACAAAAATCTTCATAGAGTCAAGACGACATTTATGTATATATGATTGAAAATGAATGCAATGAACTTTTATGATATATTTAGTCATGCCATGTACTGTATTTGAGCTGGGTGAAATGGAAACCTGGCATTTTTAGATTTTTCTTTGCACTCTTAATTGAAGATTTTAACAACTTAATTTCACTCGGATGTTTTAACACTGGAAGTTTAAAATAAAATGAGTCGGAAAAAGATTCATACATTGGCAGCTACTTTGAATTATGCATTTTTATGCAAAATATAGTTTGCACTTTGTACCGAGTATGGAATATAACATACTGAATATTTGCAAAAACGTTTTTGGATCTTATTCTCAAAGTTGTGTAGTTATAAAAAACACTAGTAATAAAACAAACTGTTCACATTAACATGCCCATTCACACACAAGTTCAAATACAAATATGACAAGATTCATGGGACTGAGGGTGAGTCACAGGTCCCTGGTGTTGGTACTGGTCCCTGGTGTTGGTACTGGTCCCTGGTATTGGTACTGGTCCCTGGTGTTGGTACTGGCCCCTGGTGTTGGTACTGGCCCCTGGTGTTGGTACTGGTCCCTGGTGTTGGTACTGGTCCATGGTGTTGGTACTGGTCCCTGGTGTTGGTACTGGTCCCTGGTGTTGGTACTGGTCCATGGTGTTGGTACTGGTCCCTGGTGTTGGTACTGGTCCCTGGTGTTGGTACAGGAACATGGTGCTGGAGATGTCTCACAGGTTCATGGTGCTGAAGATGTCTCACAGGTCCATGGTGCTGGAGATGTCTCACAGCTCCATGGTGATGAAGATGTCTCACAGGGTCATGGTGCTGAAGATGTCTCACAGGTCCATGGTGCTGGAGATGTCTCACAGGTCCATGGTGTTTGGGATGTCTCACAGGTCCATGGTGCTGGAGATGTCTCACAGGTCCATGGTGCTGGAGATGTCTCACAGGTCCATGGTGCTGGAGATGTCTCACAGGTCCATGGTGCTGGAGATGTCTCACAGGTCCATGGTGCTGGAGATGTCTCACAGGTCCATGGTGCTGGAGATGTCTCACAGGTCCATGGTGCTGGAGATGTCTCACAGGTCCATGGTGCTGGAGATGTCTCACAGGTTGAAGAGGTCCTGTCGCATTTTTTATTTTATTGTATCAAATAGTGCGGAAGGCATAGTTTTTCAGTACTGTGGTCCAGCTATGGGTGACCTAACTCTAGAGAGCTAAGAAAGAACTTCTTCAGTGAGATACTAGTGAGAGTGGAATGTGCTTGGAGAGAGAGAGAGAGCTGTAGAGGCTAGTTCCAAATGCAAATTGAATTACAAATGAGGGAACATCTAAGATGCTGAGAGGTACCATGCAAGTTAAAGGTTGAATTATAGTGCTCAAAATTTGGAGCTTAATTTGTGCAAATATGAGGCCAGGATAGTTAGGCTAGTTGAGCACACAGTACATAATATACATACAGTACTCTCAATTATGAACACTTAACATGGACAATTACTATATACTTCCAGTTATGTGTACACACACTTCAACACAAATAGATGCTCACAAATAATAATGAAAAATACACTTAATTTTCTCTGCAGTGATAACCAAAGCAAATCGCTTGTTAACTCGGATGAATTGTGCACATTTGTTATCCTCATGGTAAAGGGTGTAATAAGTAGTTCATGATATTGATGTGCAAGAAAATAAATGCTGCTAAAGGTTCATGATATATTCGTTACATTGTCACAGATTTGGTTCATTGAAGAAGCAACACATCATCTATCCAGTGATTCCTCATCTGGTGGTTCTGACTCTGCATTCCTTAGCAGAAGCATTACAATTGCCAGTACTTGTTCGCACTAGTGTCCTGAATTAGTAACACTGGGGGAAAAATCTGGTTGTTGATTTTGTATCTAGTTATTTATATATATATAATATATATATATTTATATATAAACAGCATAAGGTTCTTTGTATGCTACCCAATTTTTAAGTACTTTATATTTAAATATTTCAGATATTAAGCTTAAAGTACTGACACTTTAAAAATATATATTTATTAGAAAATTAACACTTTGTGTTGGTTGTATTAGTAATTAATACCTTGACAGTGGAGAATATTTTTAGTCAGTACTGTATTATTTAAAAATTCTTCAACCTTATCCTTTCCCTTGGTGACTTAGTTCTGTATTTGTGGTTCTGCACATCATGTAGATTAGATTTTGTGACCCCAGCATCTGACTTTGACACAACTTAAGCTCTCCATTTCATTCTTTTTCCTGTTATAGGTAAAAGAATTTAAAGTAAACGGCTTTTTTAAAAGTTTCAAAGTAGCTCCTTGAGCCACAATTTAGCAGTGTCATTAACTCAACTTGTGTGTTGCAGTTGATCTTGGAGTAAACACAATGCACCTGTTGGTCTGACCAGTTGAAGAACATAAGATATTTTAAACATTTACAGTTTATTGGTGATTTATTGTTCTCATTTGTATGATATGTGAGTTCTGAAAGATCATTATTGTATATTATAGTATGAAGTTCGTAAAAAAGGGTGTTGATCATAGTGAAACCCTCTTATCTGACTGAGCAAGTCCCTTGGATGCTCCTTGGGCAATAGGTTATGTAGACCCCCCTTATAATTCATATCACCTTCAAGACTCTCATTAACTTTGTACCCAACCACAAAAAGGAGTCTTTTCAAATTATCTTGTCAAGTGAGAGACAAAAGAGAGCCGAGTTTTAAGCCATCACTGAGTGACCTGTTTGCAATGACAAAAAAAAATAATTACAGTAGTATGTGTATGCTAACCACTAGTTAGTAATCAAACGTTACTCCAATTTCCTGCAATTGATAGCACCTATCACTACAATAGTAGTGGGAGTTAGTAACTTCACTAGAAGCATAGTCTCTCCAAGCAAGCTCTGAAAAGACAAGACTAAAAAAGGAGTGAATGGAGCATCCATGGGATCAGCCCTACTCAGAAAAGAGTATTTTGCAATGCACTATATCCTATTTCTGAACATAGCCCAGGGGAAAGGAAGATAAATTAGTACATATTTGACATGAACCCAGTCACCAAATTTGAGTTTGATCAATGAATGCATTAATGATATTAAAATGTGAACCTTCTTTTACTGCACATGCAGTTAGATTTTTGCAAGATATATTTGACATTTTTATAGCAGTGTATAAAATATATACTGATATACTGTTTTATACAGTATATATGTAAATGGTAACTTACCTTCTTCAACTGGTTGGGCATAGATTATTCTGCACAGTTAAGTGTACAGTGCACTGGTCAAATGAAGTAGGAATTTGTTGCACATTATATATTAAATAGATGTCTCTTGCCTGAGAAAGATGTGCTTCTCTGAATAGTTGAATGGTATTAAAGTTTATGAATATGGTTGAGGGTGTCGGTACAGTATTTTGTTCCGTTGCTTCTCGAGGAAAACTAACATTTTTACATGCTCTTTAAAGATCTTCTATTGTAACAGTTAGAAAATCAATTAGACATGTATTTTATTTAACAGATTTCTAAATTTAGTTTTGCTAATTAATACTTCATATACTTTTACATGTCCTGAAGCTTATAGAACTAAAAATTTATTTCAGTCTTTAACAAAACTATTTTTGTGCATTAGAACTAACAAAGGGAATGTGGCAGTGGACAATTAACTTTCATTAGTTTCCTGGACATTATACTTCCCTAGACATGTTACTTGGACATCTAACTTACCTGCACATGTTACTTGCCCCTGGACATATTACCTACCCTGGGCATATTACTTACCTGAACATGTCTAAATATCTATAAGATATATGCCCAAATATCGTATCCAAATATTGATGTGGTAGGTGGGATTGATTATAATACGCAAGCACCCGGGCCAGAATATAAAGTAACTCGACTAATATGTCAGGATACAATTTTTTATTTCGACTTTTTTTTTATTTTAACCGCATTAAATAAAGTAATTTATAGTAATTGGTTTTGTCTTTGTATATTTCATATAAGCAATATACAAATTAGCTATCGGAGCGATTTAAAACGTACATCATCATGCGAGTATGATATAGGATATAAATTTTAGTACTTCGTGCTTGTTTTGATTGACATGATACTGTACTGCAATTGGTTAATGCCATGCATACACAATAATAGTTCAAGTTGCAAGTACTCTATGTACTTGTGGATTGCAGTTGTGGTTATACTGATGTTACTTCAGTTGAGTTCAGATCATAGTTAGGGTGCAGTCGTCGTCTTTTCTGAAACACACTAAATTACATAATGGAGTTTGTGACATTTTGTGTGGTTTCCATGGCCCTGCTACACCTGTGTGCATTCCAGCTGTACGTACAATGTTACTTGCTCTTGGTGATTGTGTGGTGCAACCTCTTATTTACTCAAGAATTTACATCCACTTTGGATATTGCATTGTGAATTGAAAATATATCTACAAGTAGTTCTTATGCTCGAGTAGATAGAGACAAGAGCAAGTACAGTACAGTGAGGTAATTATCAGAAGAAGGGACTAAGTCAGTATGACTAGTTAAATATGGAAGAAAATTTAACATTTAAAAAGTGAGTAAGGCAGACATCTTTACTTGCAAATAATGAAAAGAAAAATACATGAAAATCCTTGAGTATTGAGATATTAAATTGAACTAGCACAGAGGGAAAGAATAAATGGTGCACTATATTATCTGGACTTGTCTATTGGCAGTTGTCCTGGGCTACCCACACAACAAAATCATGAATGAATCATTACATGTACAGCACATTTATATAAATGTGGATGCTTTAGCAGTCTCCGTGGTGTAGTGGTAAGACACTCGCCTGGCGTTCCGCGAGCGCTATGTCATGGGTTCGTATCCTGGCCGGGGAGGATTTAATGGGCGCAATTCCTTAACTGTAGCCTCTGTTTAACGCAACAGTAAAATGTGTACTTGGATGAAAAAACGATTCTTCGCGGCAGGGGATTGTATTCCAGGGACCATAGGATTAAGGACTTGCCCGAAACGCTATGCGTACTAGTGGCTGTACAAGAATGTAACAACTCTTGTATATATCTCAAAAAAAAAAAAAAAAAATGCAAAAATATTTATTTGCATATCGGAAAATTTTAATTCTGTACTTCAAATTATTTGTATGTTTAAGAAATATTATAACTATTTATCTATAAACTGATAGGAAAAGTATTATACTTGATAATTATTTATAGGCATGTCATTATTATAATGTCAGAAATGTGATGCATAAATCACTTTTGTTGTTATGGGTATATCAGATATATTTTGATGTGTATATTTTACCTTTACCAAATATATATCATCATGTATTTTTGTCAGATGTACCAGAAAACAAGGCAGCAGTTACAAAAGACACGGAGGTGGTTGTGCGTCGTCGGGCACTATACCAGTTTGATGCGCGTAACCACGATGAAATAAGTTTCATGCCAGGCGATATTATTGTCGTAAGTCATTGATGTGTGTCTTTGTTAATTCTAGTGAAATTTTTTCTTGCATCATTAAATCACAAGATTCTTTTAATGGTTACAAATTTTCAGGTCACCCTGCACGAAGGAGTGGAACCAGGCTGGCTTGGTGGTGAACTTCGTGGCCAAACTGGGTGGTTCCCAGAAGCTTACACTGAAGCTTTTGAAGAAAAGGAAGAAGCTGCACCAGAGTCTCTCATCCGTACACAGCTGGAGTGAGTTATTTTCTGGGGGCAGCCCCATCAATTCCCTGAAGCTAGTTTACTGATTAAGTGTCATACTACTTGAAGTCATCAGTCATTCCGCTGGTCGAGGTGGGTCATTGGTGCCAGCTTCTGAGCCGACGTTGCCTAGGTGGCACGGTGATCACTCTGTTCGGCGGTTGGCTTCTCATAAGGGGCGTTGGGCCCTTTCGTGGTTCGCCCTGTTGACGGGGCAATTGGGGGGGAGGGTCGCCCTGTTGGCTCGCGCTTGGTCCCACGATTTGTGGCCGTTTTTGGGTGTGTCATCCGGCCTGTGGTTGCATTGAGCGGCTCATCCTTCGGGAGGTTCAGGTCTGGCGAGGCAGGCTTCTTCCACTGTGGTCAGGTCATCTTGTAGTGGATCCATTTGGGCGTGATCGAAACGACCCTGTCCCTCAGGATCTACGGTTCATTCTGGACTTGTCCCGTCTGAACCCTTGGATTCCTTGCCCCTCCTTTTTGGTGACTACTGTCTCAGGTCCAGCTTCTTTTGGAGCTGGGTGCCTGGATGGTGTCCCTGGACCTCAAGGATGCTTCTTGGCACATTCCTATTCATATGGGTTCAGGAACTGGTTAGGTTTCGTGATGAGGCATCAGGCTTACCGCTTATGTTGCCTTCCTTTTGCTCCGAATCTGGCACATTGCGTATTGACGTGTCTTAGCCTGGTCGCGGTGACCCAACTGCATCTGCTAGGGATTCGGGTTCTTGCCTACCTCAACGACTGGCTGGTGTGGGCTCCCAGTTGATTTACTTGCCAGGGGTGTGGTTCTTTCCCAGCTCTCAGAGTTCAGGTTCCTTGTGAACTGGAAGAAGTCCCATCTGGTTCCGGCCCAGGTTTGGACCTAGCTGGGTCATGTTTGGGACTCTTGGACTGCTTTCTTGTCTCTCCCTCCAGAGGCGTTGTTGCGGCTATGGTCCTGCCTTCGGCTGTTTTTTTTTTTTTTTGGGGGGGGTGGGTGGGTCCCGGGTCACTCAGCTGTTGCTTGAGCAGTTGTGCGGGAGTCTGAACTTCGCCGTGCTGGTCTACCCGCTGGGACGGATTTAGCTTCGGCGTCTGTTCAGGTTCCATCAGGGGCATTCCTTCTGCCTCTCACACGATGGCTGGGTTCGTCCTCCAGGGGCCTTATGTCGGTTGCTGCGTCGCCGGCTTCCTCCTCGGGGTTTTCAGGGTTCAGTGCCTTGGTGCCTACCTGAACCCTTGCTCGATGTGTTCACGGACGCGTCGTCTCTCGGTTGGGGCTTTGTGACCATTGCTCACCAGGCTGGCCAGGAACGGTGGGGTCCGTCCTTCCGTTGGGCTCGCAGCACAGTGCGGGAGTTTGTGGCGATCTGGTTTTCGCTTCAGAGGGTTCGAGTCACTCGGGGTTCGACCGTTCAGCTCCATTCGGACTGTTCCCTGGTGGTTCATTGCCTGAACTATTTGGCTTCTCTTCAGTCCTTGCCTCTTTGGGACTGGTCACTTTGGGTGGCTCGTGTGCTGGCTTCTCAGGGTTTGGCTCTGTACGGGTCATATCCGGGGAGTGTTCAACGTTCTGGCAGATGGCCTGTCTCGGTTCATTCCCCTGTCCACAGAATGGACAGTCAATGCTGATTCGTTTCGTGTGCTCTGCTGGACGTACGGACTCCTGGAAGTGGACCTCTTTGTGTTGGCTTGGTCTCGGCATCTCCCGATCTGTGGCACCCTTCCCTGACTGCGAGGCTGTTGCGGTGGACACCTTTGGGGTGAACTGGTAGAGGTGGGGTTACCTGTACCTCTTTCCCCTGGTCCAGCTGTTGCTTCTGGTTCTGGTTCGGTTGGAGTCCTACCCAGAGAGAGAAGTCCTCATGGCCTCTTGGTGGCCGGCCCAGCCTTGGTTTCAGGCGCTGCTTGCTCGGTGTGCAAACCCGGGGCATTTCCCGAGGCTTCACTTCTTTCAGCAGGTCGGAGCAGTCCGATACGTGGCTGGTTCGGTCTTCTCCTCTGCTCTTCGTGTCTGGTCTTCTTGACGCGGGTTTATCGCCATCTGTATGTTTTTTTTTTTTTCCCCAGTGAAATTCCTGCACGGGCCCAAAGCCTCTGGCTGGCCTACTAAGTGTTGCTTGTTTCTGTTTTACTTAGGCAGAGTGTGATTATTTATGACTGGTATGGTCGCTTCAGTAAGATTTTGTCCCGCGTGTTTAACAACTACTTCTGCTCTGTTGAATCTTAAGTTGAAATCTTATTGGGTTTGTAACTGTGCACTATCTGTATGGTGATCAGGTGGCTTCATTGATAGTGTCCCATTTAAGAGCTTCGTCTCGGCGACAGTATGAAGTTTCCTGGCGTTCTTTTCACCATTTTCTCTCTCTTCGTGGGTCTTCTATTTCGGATCAGGTTGTCTTGTCCTTTCTTTCTTTCTTGGCTTTTTCAGGACCGTCATTTGATGCCAATACTGTCACCTTGTATCATGTGGCGCTGGCGGAGCCGCTCCAGCTTGCATTCGGAGTGGACGTCTCTCCGGCCCCATTCTGTAAGATTTCTCATGCTTTGTTTCACCTCTGGCCTGCTCATGTGCCACCTGAGCCATCCTGGTCCTTGGACAGGGTGCTCTCCTATCTTTCCTCTCCTCGGTTTGTGGTGGCCCGTTCGGTTCAGGATTGTTTGTCAAGGCTCTATTTTTGTTGGCATTGGCCTCTGGGGGTCGGGTAAGGGGAGTTTCATGCTCTTCTCTGGTGCAGGGGTTTTTGCTCTTTTGGTCCTGGTGGTAGGTTTGTTCGTTTGCAGTTGTCTTCTCCTTTTCTGGTGAAGAATGAGACTGATGCTTTCCGGAGGGGTCCTTGGGTCATTGATGCTTGATTGGTCCGGCCGGGGTGCATCATGCGTTGTGTCCGGTTGTTGCTCTCCGACGTCAACTGTGTGCTTTGGCTTTGGTGGCTGGTTATGCGCTTTGGGTTGATCCATTTTCCCTTGTTCCCTGTTCCAGGGCTCGGGTGTCCCAGGTCGTCCGCAGGGTTATTAAGTCTAGCCAGCCTGCAGTCTATCCTCGTGTCCATGAAGTTCGGAAGTTTGCTGGTTTGGCTGCTGTGTTTGGCAACATGTCTTTGGCTGCTATTTGGGTGTGTGGGGATTGTGGAGGTCGAACAGGGTTTTGTCCGCCTGTTATTTGGTAAACATGCCTATTCCTGGGCATTCCTGTGTCATTTTGAGTCTGCAGTTGCAGCCAGTTGTCTCGAATTTGCATTGAAGAGTTTGTGGCGGCTGCCTCCCGGGTTAGTCCCTCTTTTCCTTATCTTTGGGTATGTAGCTCCAGGGAGCCGTAGGGGCTCCCCTCCACAGAAAATCAGCGTTGAATGTAATGAAACCCCATTTTCTGGGTGAGCCCTGTAGGCTCCCTGGCAACCCTTCCTCCCTCCGGTTGGCATTTTTTCGTGTTTTGTTACTTAGCTTTTGAACTGAAGGCCTGAGTATCCGGCCTGGCGAGGGAAGGGCTGCACGGTCGAGCAGCAAAGCAGTAGAGTGTGACGTTTACTTGTTTCCTTGGGATTGGAGGGAGTTCTGCCCCTCTTTTAAATTTTTCGTTGTTGGTTTCATACCATGTGGGGTTTGTTTTGTTATGCCTACCTTTCTGGGTGCCTAACCCCGGTCTATGGCAGATAAAGAACCCCCCCCCCAACAACAGGTGGGGGGGGGGGTTCCAGGGGCCATTGCTCCCTGAAACCTCTCTGAAGGGGCCAGGTTCTGGCTCATGGTCCCTGGTAGGTCGAGCTCCATAGCTAATGTTCCGGTCTAATATAACACACATTAGCCGGATAACTCCAAGGAGTCTCCAGGGCTCACCCAGAAAATGGCGTGTCATTACATTCAGTGCTGGTTTTTTCTGGGGGAGGGGGGGGACACAGGGTAGCTCCCTGGAGCTACTGGGGCTCATGCATAAATTGACATTTCAATACATTCAATGCTTGTTTTATTGTTAAATTATCATCTAGGAATGCATCCTATTTTTACTGTAAAAAATTTGAACAAAATATTAATGATTCTTTCCCTGTTATTCAAAATAATAACGAATCGTTCACTTTCAGAAATATCCCAGAGGAGGGTGTAACCACAGCTGGAGCCCAGCAGAAAACAATGGGTGAAGCTGTAGCAGTGTTCCCTTGGAGAGCCAAGCAAAATAATCACTTGTCATTCAATAAGGGTGATCGCATCACTGTTAGGGAGAAGCAGGTATGTTTTTCTTGAATTACAAATATAAAAGGATATTGGGCCACAAATACTGCTTCAGTGGATGCTTTGTGGGTTGGTCCTTGGTCCTTTGTTCTGTGGCTTGTATTCCCAGGCCATCTACAATGCACTTTGGTCTTCTAGCCAGCAGTCTACCCTCATGCTCATAACGTTCAGAGTATGTCCCTCTTTCCGCTGTGTTTGTGAACATATCCTGGGCGGATATGTTGGGGCGTGGGGGTTTTGGTTGTCAAACAGGTTTTAGTGGCCCTGTATTTGTTGAATATTCCCGGGCTTCGGTGCTTTTGTGTAGCCTTGAGTCATGTGACTTGGCCGGGAATCTCATCTTTGTCCTGATTCTTATGGTGCTCCCTCCAATCTGGAAAGTTCCATGTTTTCTTCCTTTTCTATGGATATTTAGCTTAGGGAGCCACATGGAGCTTCTCCAAACAGTCAGCATTGAATTTTGTAAAATGCTAATTTCTGGGTGAGCCCAGGTGGCTCCCTGATCCCCCTCCCTCTCTTACAGGTCGTTGATTTGTTACCAACAACTGTTCTAGAACTAGGGCTGAGATTCTGACTGACAATGAGGTACCTCTCCCATTCTCCCAGGTGTGTGGGGAAGGTGGGGTAAATGCACCCCTAGCTTTTTCTCCCGGGTGAGGTGGCACAAATAAATGTCACTGCTTACTGTGCCACTTTGAGTGGCCCAAGTTCTGGCACTGGTCCCAGGTAGACAACTCCATGTCTGATGTGACCTAGTAGATGGAATTATCTCATCATAATAGCTTCAGGGAGCCAACAAGGTTCACCTAGAAATTGGCATTTCATTACATTCAACTCTCAGCTTGAGGATTACCTGTTTGCTCCTGCTCTTTCCAAGGATGTGTGCAAGCAGAAGTTCAATGTGCAGCGGCCTCTCCTTTCTGGAGCCCTTGTGATTCCTTTGATGAGTTTCTCCTCCACTTGTTGGGGCCATCCTTATGCACCATAGAAAGTTGGCGCCTCTCATGGTTTGTGTTGGCCCTTTTGTGGTTCACCCCTTTAATTTTGCTGTTAGAGAGTGTTTGGCTCATTTCATTGACTCTTGGTCTTATGATTTGAGGACTTATTAGGGCATGTCCTTCAGCCTTCAGTAGAATTGATCAGTGAACCCCCTTCTCCAGGTGGGTCAGGGTTTACGGTCAAGTTTTCTTTCCATTTATTCGTCACATCATTGCGAATTTATTGGCCTCGGGCATGGTTGAGATGACCTCATCCTTTCATTGGGTGTTCAGTTTGTTCCCACTTTGGCTCAGGCCAAGTCTTGTTGTGACCCTGGACCTCAACGATACTGGTACATCTCTCTTCATCTGAGGTTCTGGAACTGGTTTAGTTTAGTAGTGGAATGTCAAGCTTAATGGTTTCAGGTTCTCCCTTTCAGCTTCAATCTGGCTTCTTGTATTTTCACCAAGTTTCTTGGGTCATGGTGGCTTGGCTACGTGTCTTACTGGGTCATGTGTTGTTCTACCTCAACGGCTGGCTGGTGTGGCCCCCAGTTGGTCTGTGTGTCAGCTGGCCAGGGATCCGTTTTTTCCCAGCATACCAGTTTTAGATTCTTGGTGAACTGGCAGAAGTCCCAGTTGATTCTATCCCAAGTGCAAACTTAACGAGGCCTAATGTTGGACCCTCAGTCGGCATTGCTTTCCCCTGCCTCTGGCAGCCTTGCTCCATCTGCAGCTTTTCTGCCTTTGGCAAAGCTTCATTGGATCGGCCCCGGGTGACTCGGCAGTTGGTTAAGTAGTTGTGCAGGAGCCTGAACTTAGCCTGCATGATTTTCCCACTAGTCAGAGTATGGCTCTGGGTGTCATACTGGTTGCTCCATTTACACCAATTTTGCTGCTGATGCAACTGTCAGGTTTGGGCCTACCCTGCTCTTTGGTGCAGTGCTCTTCTGCTGTCGCTTGATGTGTTCACGGATGCCTTGGCTCTGGGTTGAGGCTTTGTGGCCTGTGCTCACCTGACTGCCCAGCATCAGTGGTCAGATCCATTCCTTTGGGTGCACAATAGGTTGCATGAGTTTGTGGCAGTGTGGCATGGTCTTAGGAGAATTTGGCTTCCTCTGGGTCCATTCTCTGGCTCTATTCTGAATGCTCCCAGTGGTTCGTTTTCTGAACTGAGAAGGGTTGCTTCGGTCCTTTCCCCTTTGAAGCTGGACGCTACGTGGAGCTTGGCTTCTGGATTCTCAGGGTTTGATTTTCCATATGATTCTTGCCCAGGGCATTCCAAAGTTTTCGTGGATGAGTTATCTTGCTTCTGTCCTATTTCTAGACAAAGGCTCACCTATGATGCATCTCTCGTGAGAGACTCTTGGTGGATGTGCTTCAGCTGGACTGGTCAAGTTAGGGGCTCATTTACCTCTTTTCCTCATTTGTTGCTCCGAGTTCTTTCCAGACTAGAGTTGTTCTTGGTAGTGGGGTGTCCTTCTGGCTCATGGGTGGCTAGCTGAACCATGGTTTCCAGCACTTTTTGCCCAGTATCTGAACCAAGGCAGATTGGCCCAAGCAACATTCTTCACCTGTTCGAACTTCTCTTCTGCTCTTCGTGTCTTGATTTTGTGATGTGTCTATAATCATTTGTGTGGTGAGCAGGTTGCTGGGTTATTAGTGTCTCACTGGTACTTGTCTTTGCACCAATAGTATGAAGTTGCATGGCCCTCATTTCGCCTCTTCCTGTCCCTCTGTCATCTTTTTTTGGTCTCTGTTTTGGGTTGTGTTATCCTTTCTGTTGTTGTTTCTTGACTGTAATCTCATGTCCAGTACTGTCGCCTCTTATCTGTTGGCATTAGCAAAGCTACTGCTGTTTGCATTCAATATCAATATTTTGCTTTGATGCTGTTTTGTAAGTAGTCTCGTGTGTTTTTCACTTCTGGTTTGCTCATGCTCCTCCTGAGCCATCCTGGTTACTAAAATGTGACCTCACTTTTCTCTCCTCTCCTCAGCTTACAGCTTCCCCCTTTTGGTCTGGGATTCCTTTCTCAAGGTAGTGTTTCTCTTGGCTCCCTTTCAGTTATTGGGTTGGAGAACTTTATGCTCTTCTCTGGAGGTGGTGGTTTTGCTATATTGGCCCTGGTGGGCAGTTTGGTCATCTGCAGCCTGCTCCCTATTTCTGACAAAGAACAAGGCAGCAGGCTGCTGGAGAGGTCCTTTGGTGATTGATGCTTAGTAGGTTCGGCCAGAGGTGCATCATTTGTTGTGTCTGGTGGTGGCTCTTCATCACTGATTTTGCCTCAGTAGATGCTTTGTGGGTTGATCCAATTTCTTTGGTCTCCTGTTCCAAGGCTTTCATTTCTCAAGTCATCTGCTGTATTATTAAGTTTGGCCAGCTTATGGTCTACCTTCATGCCCATGATGTTCATAAATATGTTGCCAGTGGCAGAGTTCTCAATGATGTCCTGGGCTGATATTCAGGCTTAAGGGCTATGGAGGTCTTAGTGTCTTGGTGGTCCCTGTACTTAGTGTTCCAGGGTCCACTCATTTCTTTGTTGCATTGGGATGTGTTTCCCAGCCTCTTGTTTCTACTTCACCTTCCTCTCATCCTAATCTTCCTGTCATCCTCATCTTCCTCCCTGGTAAGTCCTTTGTTTTTCTTCATAGTTAGTTAGCTTCAGGCAACCACTAGAGGGTTCCTCCAGAAACCCAGCATCGAATGTAATCAATCGCCTCTTTCTGGTTTGACCCCTGGTGGCTCCTTGAGACCCTCCCTCCCTTCCAGTTGCATTGGTTGGTGGATGTGGGGGTTCATCTGCTCTTGAACTGGCTTGGGAAAGTTGGCTTAGGGCTGGGTTGCCGGGCCTCTTGTTGTTCACTGTTGGTATTAAGTGATTAGAACTAGTTTTAAGTGACACGATCATTTAAGTTAAATTGTTTTGAGAGTTATTTGGTAGTTATTGAGGCTTTGGTTTCTGTGAACCTTGCAGTTGTTTGCATGGCTTCGCTGACTTTCTGGATGTTTTCCCAATAGTTAGTGGAATATCACTTGCTCTTTGCCCCCCTCTGTGACTGGCCAGGTTCTGGCTCTGCTTCCCAAAGGCCAAATAGAACTCCTGTGACTGATGTGACCTAGTAGATAGGAGCAATCTTGGCAAGATAGCTTCAGGGAGACACCAGGGCTCAATCCAGGCACCGGAGCATTTTATTATATTCAACACTGGACTCTCTTTATCTTTTAAGCTTATTTTCCTATATTGCTCTCATCAGCTCCTGAGGGGCTGATGACAATACCACCCCATGATACTGTATTGGAAATGTAATTATAATGACTGGATGAACTTAAAATGATTCAAATTTTATTAAATTGTAAAAATAAGTTAATTATTTGAATGTTTGAATAACAATATACTACTTTGGGACTTTTTAATTTAATATTTTCTGCAATTCTGTCAATCATATTTTGTTTCATTCATTTTAAAAATTAAGTCTAGGGAAAGTAACCAGGTTTCTGAAAAATATCCTGAAATGGTTAACCTTGCCGTAAGTTAAGGGCATGAAAACTATATTGTGCTTTTACTGATAAAGTAAGATTATTAAAATTGATATTTGTAATATTAACATATAAAACATAATTATTTTGTGATTATTAGGATCAATGGTGGTATGGAGAGCTGAACAATGGAGCTGGTTGGTTCCCCAGGTCATTTGTAAGGATGGTGTCAGGCCCTGCTGCTGTCACATCTCCAGTAACAACTCCACAGGAAGCTCCAGAAGAGCCGCCAATGCCTGAAAACTTGGTCCATGATGAAGTCTCAGAGTTTTATCAGGCATTGTATCCTTACCAGGTATGTCATTACATCTGCATATACAATGCAAGTGTCTTTCCACAGACAGTTGGGGAGTGAGTGTGTAATTACCTAAGTGTAGTTACAGGATGAGAGCTATGCTTGTGGTGTCCCGTCTTCCCAGAACTGTCATATAACGCTTTGAAACTACTGACGGTCTTGGCCTCCACCACCTTCTCACCTAACTTGTTCCAACTGTCTACCACAATATTTGCTAAAGTGATTTTTTTTATATTTCTTTGGCAGTTTTGTTTAATTAATCTAAATCAATGACCTCTTGTTCTTGAAGTTCCAGGTCTCAGAAATTTAGTGTGTACAAACCAAGTGAGAAGGTGGTGGAGGCCAAAACCGTCAGTAGTTTCAAAGCGTTATATGACAAAGAGTGCTGGGTAGACGGGACACCACAAGAGTAGCTCTCATCCTGTAACTACACTTAGCTAATTACTATTAGGTAATTACAGCAACAACAACCCATCACAGCAACAATAACAACAACAACAACCCATCACAGCAACAACAACAACCCATCACAGCAACAACAACAACCCATCACAGCAACAACAACAACCCATCACAGCAACAACAACAACCCATCACAGCAACAACAACAACCCATCACAGCAACAAAAACAACAACCCGTCACGGCAACAAAAACAACCCATCACGGCAACAACAACAACCCATCACAGCAACAACAACAACAACCCATCACAGCAACAACAACAACAACCCATCACAGCAACAACAACAACAACCCATCACAGCAACAACAACAACAACCCATCACAGCAACAACAACAGCAACCCATCACAGCAACAACAACAACCCACCACAGCAACAACAACAACAACCCATCACAGCAACAACAACAACAACCCATCACAGCAACAACAACAACAACCCATCACAGCAACAACAACAACCCATCACAGCAACAACAACAACCCATCACAGCAACAACAACCCATCACAGCAACAACAACAACCATCACAGCAACAACAACAACCCATCACAGCAACAACAACCCATCACAGCAACAACAACAACCATCACAGCAACAACAACCATCACAGCAACAACAACAACAACCCATCACAGCAACAACAACAACAACCCATCACAGCAACAACAACAACAACCCATCACAGCAACAACAACAACAACCCATGACAGCAACAACAACAACCCATCACAGCAACAACAACAACAACCCATGACAGCAACAACAACAACCCATCACAGCAACAACAGCAACCCATCACAGCAACAACAACAACAACCCATCACAGCAACAACAACAACCCATCACAGCAACAACAACAACAACCCATCACAACAACAACAACAACCCATCACAGCAACAACAACCCATCACAGCAACAACAACAACCCATCACAGCAACAACAACAACCCATCACAGCAACAACAACAACCCATCACAGCAACAACAACCCATCACAGCAACAACAACAACAACCCATCACAGCAACAACAACAACAACCCATCACAGCAACAACAACAACCCATCACAGCAACAACAACCCATCACAGCAACAACAACAACAACCCATCACAGCAACAACAACAACAACCCATCACAGCAACAACAACAACAACCCATCACAGCAACAACAACAACCCATCACAGCAACAACAACAACAACCCATCACAGCAACAACAACAACCCATCACAGCAACAACAACAACCCATCACAGCAACAACAACAACAACCCATCACAGCAACAACAACAACCCATCACAGCAACAACAACAACAACCCATCACAGCAACAACAACAACCCATCACAGCAACAACAACAACCCATCACAACAACAACAACAACCCATCACAGCAACAACAACAACCCATCACAGCAACAACAACAACAACCCATCACAACAACAACAACAACCCATCACAGCAACAACAACCCATCACAGCAACAACAACAACCCATCACAGCAACAACAACAACAACCCATCACAGCAACAACAACAACCCGTCACATCAGCAACAACAACAACCCATCACAGCAACAACAACACCCCATCACAGCAACAACAACCCATCACAGCAACAACAACAACCCGTCACATCAGCAGCAACAACAACCCATCACAGCAACAACAACACCCCATCTCAGCAACAACAATAACAACCCATCACATCAGCAACAACAACCCATCACAGCAACAACAACACCCCATCACAGCAACAACAACAACAACCCATCACAGCAGCAGCAACAACAACAACAACAACCCATCACAGCAGCAGCAACAACAACAACAATAACTACCCATCACAGCAGCAGCAACAACAACAACAACCCATCACAGCAACAACAACAACAACCCATCACAGCAACAACAACAACCCATCACAGCAACAACAACAACCCATCACAGCTGCAGCAACAACAACAACCCATCACAGCAGCAGCAACAACAACAACCCATCACAACAGCAACAACAACCTGTCACAGCAACAACAATATTTTCAATATTGAAATATCATCTCTGTCTTGGTTTAAATATATAATGTTGCTCAGTAGATAGAAAGAGAAGTTTTGCTGCTGGTTAGAAATGTAATAAAAATTCAATGAAATTGTATCCCTATTTTTGTTCATTAGAGAGAATAATATGGAAAATAAGATGCTGCAACAAAAGAATTAATTGGCTCAGTTTACCCACTTAAGAACTTCTGTAAGTGAAGGCAAAGAGAGTTCTCTTATTATATTGACGGTGATATTAATTATGTAATACAAATAATTGTTGTACTGTATTTCCCTATTTTTGTCTGCACAAATTCTCTCCTTAGCTATTTGCATTTTTACCTTTTCATTTGATTTTATGTCTTATTGATTTTTTTACTATGGTTCAAAGCACAATGTATTACTTTTTTTTATTCCATAGATTTTGTTGGGCCAGAGATTTGTTTTTTTATATTTTTGGCAGTTATAAATCTATTACAGACTAGTTCATAGAGGCTTCCCTTTCCCCTTTATTCTGCCCATCTTATTTATAAATATTCTTTAGAGAAAATGGGACTTGAAAGATGCAGTAATGTGTTAGTGATGATGCGAGAGATTACTATTTTACACGAGTCTCCTTTGCATAGTCCGGTGAGCCTGGTGACTTGACCTTCAATGCTGGGGAAATTATCTTGGTTGTCAAGAAAGAGGGAGACTGGTGGCATGGAATAATCAACCAGAATTGTGGCATCTTTCCTTCCAATTATGTTGAGCATCTTCCAAATCAGGTATGTCTCAATAAAATTCTTATGTATTTTAACAGAAACTTAAAATTCTCTGCATTTTATGTTTTTTTTTTTTAATTATGTGTTTCATATTAAATCATGAATATTGTAATGTTGAAACAACATGATGGGTGGGATAAAATGAACTTAATATAAATATGCAGTACTGTATACCAGAATGCTCATTCTGATGTATAGTGGGAAGGCCTACAGAATATAGTTTAAATACTACATTATGTGTATTGGTAATAATATTAATACAAGTGAAATAATAATAGTGAAAGCAAATGAGGACCCTAACCATCACGTTTTATTGATATAAAGTAGTTATTGCTTAATACTATGTGAGATACATAACATAAATATTGATTAAGAAAAAGAAGTCTAAGACTATAAAATAATTAGTGTGTAATATATAAGCACATAATCAATCGGTAATTTAATGTGCACATACTGGATGCATATTAGTCACTCATTTACTTATTTTATACTTAATGTTTGGCTGTAAGTTTGCAAGTTATGTTTGTTATAGGAGAGAACTAGTATGGTTCACCACTCAAACATGCAGGCGATGAGTCACAATAATGTGGCTGAAGTATGTTGACCAGACCACACTAGAAAGTGAAGGGACGACGATGTTTCGGTCTGTCCTGGACCATTCTCAAGTCAATTGTGAGAATGGTCACAATCTACTTGAGAATGGTCCAGGACGGACCAAAACGTTGTCGTCCCTTCACTTTCTAGTGTGTGGTATGATCAACACTCAAACATAATTGACTCTCAGGAGATCACAGTTTTGGACAAATCAGGTTGGTCCATATTCCAGTTTGTAGCCCATGGCCTAGGCTACAACTGACCCATATATTAGATTCCTATATGTGATCAATTTTAAAGGGCATGCAAGAAAAGAATTTAAATGGTGAAGATGACAACACCTGTTCTTAGGTTTATCAATCCTTGTATGCTCTTTGTCTCTTCTTAATAATGGCATTAGAGATATTATGTATATAACCTCTATGATAGTTAATAGTATAAGAAGTACAATACAAAAAATTTATTACGCTTAATAAATATGGATTATAAAAGAAAATATACAAAATATTACACGCTATTTTGTAAATAAATTAATATATTCTTGGGATAAGACTAAAGGCCTTTGGCCTTTAAAAATGAGTCTTTTACCAGTGAGTGTATCTCAGAATAACACCAGCATGAGAAAATAGGCCTACATAATGGAGAATCCCAGTAGAGATCCTAGACACGAGACATCATAAAGTAATGCATTTGATGTCCTACAAAACTGTAAACACTACTACTGTAAACAGAGTGGTAGACGGTTGGAACAAGTTAGGTGAGAAGGTGGTGGAGGCCAAAAGCCTCAGTAATTTCAATGCGTTATTTGATAAAGAGTGCTGGGAAGACGGGACACCACGAGCGTAGCTCTCATCCTGTAGCTACACTTAAGTAATTACACTTAGGTAATTACAGAACTGCTAGGAAATGTAACAATTATTCCCCCATTTCCTTGCAGGAGTCAATGGAGGTGGCTGAACACCTAATATATTCTCCCTGAATATGCCAGACTGGTCTTAAATATTAGGAAAATAGAAGGTGTTCAATAACCCTTTCATTGATAAAAAAACAAGACATGAATGTTTTTTCTCTAATGTTGGTGCTAATTATCTATGCAATAAAAAACACTGCTTTTCTCCTAATGCTTTTTTTATTTAATTGAACGAATATATAGTTATCTACACCGGGGCCTTTGTCAACAAAGGCCCTTCTTTGGGCCTTTGCTTTGCTTCTTTGCTTCGAAGCTCCTTCGAAGCTTCTTGGAATTCATCAGAGTACTGTATTTTTATAAAATGTTTCACAAATAGGTATGTCCCAAACTTGGGTCATGTTCATTATCATTGTCAATACAATATTCATTTAATTTTAGATGGGGAAAATCCTTGATCACCTTAATATCATGGAAAATGTATATATTATCAATTGATACATGATTTTAATAAATAATTTGAATTATAAGAAAATGTTTTATTTTTTATAATGTTAATAAATCAAATATCTTTTTATGATATTTTATCATGTTAATTATATATATATTTATTGATCAACAATCAATAAAATCAGCTCTAAACTATTATAATAAACCAAAATATTTAAACAAAATGCCATTTGAAAGTTCACCAACCCAAGTGCCATAGTTTGTAAACCATATTATCTTAATCATTTACAATACTAAGTAAACTGCTACACTGTAGGTAACTTGCAACAGATCAAGAATGTCTATTTTGCTCCATATAATAGAATATACCATAAATAGTTACTGTAAAAATTAAAACAGAAACATGTTGCCTCCATATTTGCATTCTGTTAATTCGGAAAACTTGTAACCATGCAGTGCTGTAGTTGGTTTTCCCTTGATGCACCAGCTGCTCAGTAGGCACTTAGTGAAGATAGAAATACTCTAGGTTGTCCAAATTCACGTTATAGTCAACCACACCAGTTTTTCCCTACTGTATGTATTTTCACATAATTTCTAGAGTGAAATCTGTTTTTCAATTAAGTACCTACAAGAATTTCATTGATATGAAAGTGTTCTAAATTGAAACAAAGGAATAACATGGAGCTTGGTAATCTTCTAGTACAGTACAGTATATGGTTTGTTACACGAGAGGTTGGAAGTGCCGTAGTATGATATAAACGAGTAAGTGCTGGTGTAATGGTAATATTAACTAATAAGCCGAGGGTTGGCATACACTTAAATAAGTTGGGGGCAAATTAAAATAAATTTATATTGCTTTGGGCTTTAAGCAGATAAAAGGCAGTGATTATAAATTATGCTATGCTTGCCTCTTCAGCTTTAAAAAATGTGTGCGAGATGTCATATAATCATGCATATGTCAGAAATTTTGGTACAAGCCATGCTTAAAAAGCATTTCATTTTATCTTTCTTTCACACATTTCAGAAAATATATATATTTTCAGACTTTAATAGAATGGCCTGCTATTAATTTGAAAAACTTGAAAATTATATATATATTTCAAATAAAGTATTTTACTGCAATTTTACTGCACATAGAGTGCTTCAAAGTTTATTTTTTAACTGTTTTTGTCTGATTATATGTTTTTTCTGTGGGGAGCCCCTTCGACTCCTTGGAGTTATTGGATCGATATTAGCTATATTAGTCTGGATCTTCAGTCAATGGAGTTTAGCCTACTGGGGACCACAAGCCAGAACCTGCGCCTCAAAGAGGCTCAGGGAGCAATGGCCTAAGCCCCCCCCCTGCGCTTGGGAATATTCCATGTCTGTCATCGACCGGGATTAGGCACCCAGAAAGATAGGTATCCCAACACAGACCCCACTTGGTAGAAAACTGCAACCTAAGACTGGAGAGAGAGCCAGAACTCCCCCCAAAAGAAACAAAGAAACAAGCAAACGTCATCAACCCACCACGCTGCTTGTCCATGCAGTTCCCTTCAAACCCCCCGCCCCTGCCCCCTGGAACAGGGAGGGGGAGCCCCAGACCCTAGCGTTGGCTGCCCCACTCTCCAGTTCATAGACTGAAGCGATCTGGTGCAGTTGTTGACTCTGGCCTCAGTTTCCTGCCAGGCTTTGTGCCCTTGTGGTGTTGCCAGATGTTTGTGGTGCAGTGGCCAGGAGTAATGTAGTGTACTGGGGCTGCATGTGCTTAGGGCTACCTTTCCTAAGTGCCCTGTAAGTACTACCCTTGGGTTCTGAGGTTATCTTCCCTGTCGCCTTTGGCACCTCACTCCCATAGGGGGTTACTGCTGCTCGGCATTGACCCCGCCCTTGGGGCCAGCTTGAGTTTTGTCACCTTTGTTTGGCTCTGGGTGGGGAGTATTGTTGTTGCTGGTTGAGGCACAAGGTGCTGTGCAGCTCGCCTACCTAGCGGCAGCTGGGTTCTCTGTTCTCTTGTTGTTGTTGTGCTTTTGCAGGGTTTTTCTTTTCTTTTTGTTTTCTTGCTTGAAGGAGGTCTACCTGGCTTGACTGTTCATATACCTAGGGTATTTTGGGTGGCCCTTCTCTAGGTCCAGCTTCTGTAAGTCGAGGTGAGCCTTTGGTGCCAGCTTCTTTGCCAGTGCCTCCTCCGGGGCCATTTTTGTCTGGTCAGCATGGTGCTCACTCTACTCGCAAGTTGGCTTCTTGGAGGGGTGCCGGCCCCTTTGTGGGTCGCCCTGTTTACGGGGTGCTGGGGAAGGAGGCTGGCTCTGTTTGCCCACGCTGCATTCTACGATTCGTGGATGGTTCGGGTCGTATCCTCTGTAGCGTTGGGCGGCTACTCTTCCTATGGGGGGTTCGGGGCTGGGGGGGGGGCAGGCTTCTTCCTGTTGACTAGTGCTTGCTCTGTGAGGGTCAGTACCTAAGATCAAGGAGTTGCTAAACAGTGGGGTAACCTAACCTTAACTTTCCATGCAGTTCACATCGAGGGGGGGTGGGACACCCAACACTCTGGCGGATGGCCTGTCACGGTCCATTTCCCTGTCCACGGAATGGACGGTTGATGCGACTCCTTCTGTTGGCTCTGCCGGATTAATAGATACCCGGAGGTGGACCTCTTCATGTTGGCATGGTCCTGGCATCTCCCGATATATGTGGCGCCCTTCCCCGACTGCGGAGCTTTCGCGGTGGACGCTTTTCAGCAGGATTGGTCGAGGTGGGGTTACTTGTACCTCTTCCTCTGATCCAGGTATAACTTTGGGTTCTGACTCATTTGGAGTCTTATCATGGAAGAGTCATCCTTGTGACCCTGTGGTGGCCAGCCCTGTCTTAGTTTCAGTTGCTGCTTGCTTGGTGTCCGAACTCGTGAGGTTTTCCGCGGCTCTGCCTCCTCCAGCAGATCGGGCTGGGTCCAGAACCTGGCTGGTTCGCTCTACTCCTCCGCTTTTCGCGTCTGATTTTTTGACGCGTGTGTATCACCACTTGTATGGGGATCAGGTGTCCTCATTGCGGTCTTTGTCTCGGCGACAGTTTGAAGTCTCTTGGCATTCTTTTTGCCGTTTCCTCTCTCTTCGTTGGTTGTCTTTTGTTTCTGTTCAGATTGTTTTGCCCTATCTTGGCTCTTTCAGGACTGTCATCTTATGCCGAATACTGTTGCCTCATATTGTGCAGTGTTGACGGAGCCACTCCAGCTTGCTTTCGGGGAGGATGTCACTTCTGTCCTGTTTCGTAAGCTTTCTTGTGCTTTGTTTCACTTCTGGCCTGTTCATGTGCCACCTGAGCCCGTCCTGGTACTTGGACTGGGTACTCTATTTCTCTCTCCTCCTCAGTTTGTGGTGGCCCCTTCGGCTCAAGACTGTTTCTGTTAGCATTAGCCTTTGGGGATCGGGTCGGTGAGCTTCATGCTCTCCTTCGGCGCAGGGGTTTCTGCTCGTTTGGTCCTGGGGCCAGATTCACAAAGCAGTTACACAAGCATTTACGAACCTGTACATCTTTTCTCAATCTTTGGCGGCTTTGTTTACAATTATTAAACAGTTGATGAGTGCCGAAACACCAGGAGACTGTTTATAACAACAACAACATTTGATTGGGAAGTTTCATGCTTGTAAATTGTTTAATAAATGTAACAAAAGCCATCAAAGATTGAGGAAAGATGTATACGTTTGTAAGTACTTGTGTAACTGCGTTGTGAGTCTGGCCCCTGGTGGCCAGTTTGTTTGATTACAGCTGTCTCCTCCTTCTCTGGCGAAGAACAAGATGGCAGGTTTCCGGAGGGGTCCTTAGGTTTTTGATGTTTGGTTGGTTCGGACGGGGGGTGCATCATGTGTTGTCCAGTGCTCTTTACCATTACCTGTGCGCCTCGGCTTCTGTGTACGGGGATGCTCTTTGGGTTGATCCGATCTCCCTTGTTTCCTCTTCCAGGCCTGCCAGGTTGCCCGCAGGGTTATTAAGTCTAGCCAGCCTGCGGTCTCGAACATCATGGGCCCTCGTGCCCATGATATTCGTATGTATGCTGTTCTCGCCGTGGTGTTCGGGACCATGTCCTGGTCTGATGTTTGGGCACGGGGGGGTTTTGGATGTTGAACGGGGTCCTGGCCACCCATTATTTGATGAATGTTCCTGGTCCAAGTCGTTCTTGTGTGGCCTTGGGCCATTGCCTCATCTTCGAGTTGAGGCATGCAGTGCTGCCTCTGCCCGGGTAAGTCCCTCTTTTGCTTATCTTTGGGTATGTAGTTCAAGGGAGCCGAAGGGGGCTTCCCACAGAAAACTAGCGTTGAATGTAATGGAAACACATTTTCTTAGTGAGCTCCGGAGGCTCCCTGGCACCCTCCCTCCCTTCGGTCGGTGGTTTCGTTTTTGATGCCCAATCTCCAAACTGGAGAGTGGGCAGCAGGCGCGAGGGGTGCATGGGGCTCCCCCCTCCCTCTCCTGGGGGCTCCCCCCTCCCTCTCCTGGGTCTCCTCCCCCTCCCTCTCCTGGGGCTCCACCCCCCTCCCTCTCCTGGTACTCCCCCCCCCCCTCCCTCTCCTGGTACTCCCCCCCCCCCCTCCCTCTCCTGGTACTCCCCCCCCCCTCCCTCTCCTGGTACTCCCCCCCCCTCCCTCTCCTGGTACTCCCCCCCCCCTCCCTCTCCTGGTACTCCCCCCGTCCCTCTTCAGGGGCTGGGGGAGAGGAGAGGTGCACAGATTAGCAGCACAGCGGGCTAATGACATTTGCTCGTTTCCTTGTTTCTTTACGGGGTAGTTTTGGCTCCCTGTTCCGTCTTAGGTTGCAATTTTCTACCAAGGGGGTCTGTGTTGGGACGCCTATCTTTCTGGGTGCCTAACCCCGGTCGATAGCAGACATGGAATACTGTATTCCCATACACAGGGAAAGGGGAAGTTTGCTTTGGCCATTGCTCCCTGCGCCTCTCTGAGGGGGCCAGATTGTGGCTCGTGGTTCCTGGTAGGCAGCACTACATTTACTGAAGCCCCGACTAATATAGCTAATACCAGTACAATAGCTCCAGGGAGCCTCTGGACCTCACCCAGAAAATGGCGTTTCATTACATTCAACGCTGGTTTTTTTTATATGAGAAGTATATCATCATTGTGTCAAAATTAGATATTTGTTAAAATAAAAATATCAGAACACTGCCACCACCATCATTTTTCTGCTATGGCAGTTTATTACAAGCACTGGAGACAATGTTGCGGAACAGAACGTTGTGGTAGCTGCCTCGCAGGAACAGGTGGCCGTAGGAGAGAAGCAATCAAAGGCAGAGGAACAAGTAATTGCCACTGAAGATTATAATGAGGAGGTACCACTAACATTTATCATTCTATATATCTTTTGTCGGTTGGGCAGTTGGGCTTTTCTTTCGGGTGCTACATTGTGGAAGCGGTTGGTTGCTTGCGTGCTTTGCTGTTCTTTGAGTAGCGGTGGTGAAGGGTATCTTCTCTATTAATATTTTAATGTTTTTTGGGCTCTTCATGAATTTTGTAGTTGTAAGGTCTCATATACCTGTCCTACATATGCTTTTATTATATTTATTCAACAAAATAAATTTATAATTTATTACTATGAATATTATCAGTAGTATTTTTGTATTGCTACACCTGCATGTAGATAGATACTCTAATTGGTGTATCTGGTGAGTTGTTGTGTTCATATTGCAGTATGTTGTATGTGGTACGTTGTTTGTGGACAGTGTATAATATGATCCTGTGTAACCCATCCTCCTGTTTGGAAAGTATTTTCTGTAACTATGTACACCATAGTACATATGCAGGTGATGAGTCTCAATAACGGGGCTAAAGTATGTTGACCAGACCACACACTAGAAGGTGAAGGGACGACGACGTTTCGGTCCGTCCCGGACCATTCTCAAGTCGATTGAGAATGGTCCAGGACGGTCCATGGTTCAAATGGTCCAAATGGAGAATGGTCCAAATCCACTTGAGAATGGTCCAGGACGGACCGAAACGTCGTCGTCCCTTCACCTTCTACTGTGTGGTCTGGTCACCATAGTACATACATTGACATTAGCGGCAATTATATAGTAGAATTTGGTTCTATTCACTTTATAGTCCATAAAAATAAAGCTAAAAAACAAACGTAAATATTTCTAGGCCTAGTATAGCACACATATGTATCCGATGCTTTATTACGCCTCAGATAATGTGTTTTAGGCCTGGGAAGGTTAAGTTAGTTTAGGTTGTCTTTGCAACATAAATATAAAACCATTTCCGGTTCATCCAAATTCAGTAGTGACAATTTCTACTTTCTAATGTGATTACCTGTGTGTGGTTATAGGAATAGAACTGTATTCATGTCCCATGGTCTATGTCATACTGTATTTTTAAAGTTCCTAATTGTTTTTAAACATTTGTTTGTATAAGTGTGTGTGTCCATGTACATTATGTATATGGACTCCTTAGTCTGACAACTCATTGCATCACCATGTGTTATATATAGTGTGAACGTTAAATAAGGCTGTGGGGTATATTTATAATGCTTATTTCAGAAGCATCTTGCTACACATGCACAACTAATTTTACAATTCAAAGTATTTTTGTTATACTGTATAGGTATCTCAAACCATGCATACCATGTATCCTGAGATTCCCCTCACATACCACCTCTCTTTAAATGCCAGGTATCTTCTGAGGGTGGGGGTTGTGAGCTGTGCAGGACAGAGGCGCTAGGCTACCCAAAAGCATGGCAACGCTCCTATTACATTGTGCTAACATAAGCACACTTTCCCAAACACAAGTCAACATGCAAACAATAACAATGACTGACAATAAAATGAAAATAAAGTAAATTAAAGTAAATGAAAATGTCAGTAACTATAGGCAAGTCCTCTTAGTTGTTCCTCAGAGCTGAAGCACTGGTATTATAGGGCCAATACCATCTTTCCAGGGGCATGAGTCTTGCCAGAATTTTGAGGGGACCCCCCAGAAGAGGGGGGGTCCCAGCTGGTCATTATTCCCAGCACTTTATTTTTATTAATCTGGATGTAGACTCAAAGAATATTAAAGACACAGGTTAAATAATAACAGTGGTATATTATCATAATGATTCAAACTAAGATGAATATCGGTGCCAACACGTGGCCAGGAGGAGGAGGAGGACAGTCATCTGATTTAGTCAGTCGGTGGCTGAGGTGGCTGATGTTCTGTAGAAGAGCAAAGTGTTAATGGCAGATAGAACTAGAGCTTCTTTGGAGAGTGAATGTTCAACTACAGCAGCAGGGAAAGCATTATGAGCTGTTAACCTAGGAGCACAAGTGTGTGCATTGTGAAGCTGGGTAGTTACTGCAATACTCATCCATTGTGTGATACATCAGAGAATCTTGGACTCTTGCAAGACAATATATTGCACAACCTGTGCTGTGCAATCCTCCACACTGACATTTCCATCATTATTGTCTGCAATGTTGTAAACATGTGCTGTGGCCTGAATTTTGGGCAGGAATCTGTGGGTGAAAAGAAATGCCCAGTCATGGTGCTAGATGGAGAGTTAGGAACTGTTGCTTAGGGTAAAAACTTGAAGAAGCATCTGGACAGGACAGGTACAGCTGAAATTGCATAAACGTGTTCCACATTCACACAGTTTATTGAAATGACTACAGTTCTTACACACCGAGACAACAGTCAATATTGATGGTCTTTAAAAGGTCGCCTTAGTATAGTTGATATGGCTGATAAACGGCACAAATCCTGTGGGTGTGATGATCCAGGTTATGTAGGTCTGGTGTGTAAACAGATGGATGGTACTTAATCTTAGCATGATGATTTTGTCATTGAAAGCCTGGCATTGTCACAGTATTCTATGTATCCCAGCTGAGGATAGCTACCAAAAAGCAACCCAGAATGGGGCATCTTGTTACACAACACATTAGTTTTCTATTATATTGTTTGTTTCTAAACAAATGCATGACATGGTTAATTCTTAAGTACTAATGAGATTAAAAATATTTGATAGAGCCCTAAATAGATTTTTGGTTTGGTTTATATGAAATATATATTAATATTTTTCATTGGATAATGTTGCGTACCTTCCTTTGCTTTTCCACGCTTACCTTAATGCAGCAGACAAAAACGGCTGCAACTCCCACCACAGTGCAGACTCCTGACTCGGCTAATCTCAAAGTCAATCAGGTATTAATGTTGATAATTGTACTTCTCTAGTAACTTCCACATGAGGCTTAAAAGTTTGACAATGAATTTATGAATGCAACTCATTGTATTTGTATAGTTGACAATCTCAAAAGTACATTTCCCCCCTTTCATCAGTTTGCAAGGTGATGCATGTAGTCTGGAAATGCATTTTATCACAATAACATGTTTGTGTTTAACATGAGTCAATGTTTTACTAACAGTATGACTGCATCTTTATTGAAATTTTCAAAATGCAATTTGATATTGATCTCAAAATTCTTGAGTGTTGGTAAGCTTTAATTTTTTCTTCAAGTGATGCACCCCTTTCCTAAAGTCCTATTGAGAATGCTTTTAATTTATTAATGCACCTGAATGCAAGTTGAATTATATAAACCAATATTATATCAAATTTCTGCAAATATTAATTATTTGATCCAATTGTTATAGACCTTGTTATGACTTCTTATATATGTCTGCTCCAGAGCTCCTACTTGTAAACGTTCTGATGATTTTTAGGTATATATTGATCATTATTTCTGGAGGGGGCTGAACGGTGGCTCTGTAGCTAGCTGCACCGAGAATATCTCCACACATGCAGGCGATGAGTCGCAATAACGTGGCTAAAATATGTTGACCAGACCACACACTTTTGACGACGAAACGTCGTCGTCCCTTCGCCTTCTAGTGTGTGGTCTGGTCAATATCTCCACACATACAAGTCACATCAGCCCAAGGTGTCCTTAACCACTGTACCGCACACCTGTTTGAGATGAGTCCTCTGTGCATGTAAAATAAAATATTCCCCCGCAAATTTTTGTTCTTATATTGTTAAAATCCCTTCCCTGAATGGTGAAACATAAGATAACAAGCACTTTGGCTGCAGTGAGCTGAAGAAGATGAGCTAATTCATCACAGCTGGGTGATGTCATAGCTCATCTTCTAGCCCATGCCACAGACTCCTGAAACTGGTCGCGTGGGCGATTCAACACTCAAGTTGTCACAAATATATTTGTGTCCATTTTTAATACATTTTATTGCTTTATTTTTTTCTTATGCACATGAATGTAATTGGCAATATTTACAGAGTAGAAAGTTCATAATATTCTAAGGAGCCGTGATAATTGTGTCATTAATGTGTCCAATAAAAATGTTTATTGTCACATTATTACTTGTTCAATATTTAATTTGTAAACACTACACTTTCACACACTGTATTACACATTTGGAACTTTGCAAATGAGTGATAATCACTCAAGCAGTCCATATAGTACAAGGCAACTTTGTATTCAACACACCAAGTACTCACAGATTTTTGCTTCCTATTTATTCATTCTGAGTTTTTCAAACATCACTCTCACATATACATTTTCCAGATTTTATTGTACCTAGTATGTAACCAATCTTGTGCAGTACAAGGGCATCTTTGCAAGCCAGTCTGTTGGGAGCAGTGTAAGGCATTGTTGGTTATCTTGAGATGATTTTGGGGATTTTTAGTGTCCCCGCGGCCCGGTCCTCGACCAGGCCCCCACCCCCAGGAAGCAGCCCGTGACAGCTGACTAACACCCAGGTACCTATTTACTGCTAGGTAACAGGGGCATAGGGTGAAAGAAACTCTGCCCATTGTTTCTCGCCGGTGCCTGGGATCGAACCCAGGACCACAGGATCACAAATCCAGCGTGCTGTCCGCTCGGCTCCCAAAGGTTTGGTGGATAAACCTTTGTCACAACACAGCCTTTCTGGCCAAACTTTTCAAGTAATTGTGACAAGAGAGCAAGACTTAAATTACGGATTGGTGGTTTCTTGCCCGATTTCACCAAATACATACCGTAACAGCTCAGCACAGTTATGTCCGCAAGATGAAAGAACAATTTCTTGGTCAACTTTATACTTTTTCAAACACATTCGATAATACTAACCATCAGTACAGTATCACAATATTCTACCAATCTCATATTTATATTGTAGACCACGACACAATCTGGTTTACTGTATACAGTACAATTTTCCTTGTGTTGTAAATTTCACTTTGCCACTGTCTATTTCAACAGCGTGAATAGTTGACACTATATTCACTTTGTGTCTGTCTATTTTATGTACTGATGAAATCTTATTGCTTTTTCTCAGCTGAAAATAACCCACTGCAATACCAATAACAAACACTGGCATTTCTCTTCTATGTGGCTTTACTGTGCCACAGACTCCTGTGGCACAGTAAAGTTCAAGCATAAACATAGCTAGCAAGGGGCTTGTATAATAATTGTCAGTGTACAGAATGTGCCTAGTGTTTAACAGTGGTTCCATGAGTGTCTTGATCATGGGAATATAATATCACATCACTGGTCTGGTTTCACAGTCATACAACACAAAGAATTTCAGTCCAAACCTGTGCCATTTCGATGATATATATTGCTTGAAAGCGAGATGGCCCCTGAAAAGAACTAGTGATTTGTCAATCACTACATTCTGGCCTGGTACAGAGAGATCTTGGAACTTTCATCTCACATCACTGAACACTTCATTCACTTTTCACAGTCTATTGCATCAATCCACATTATCATTGTTTGCAAATAGTAAGCACCTTAGAAATAACAGGAATGTGTTTTGTGACTCATCTTTATTGAAATTTTGGGTTTGGTTGAAAATGATAATGTTATTATCATGTACAGTGCAAGAAACACATACATTTCAGACACAGTTGTCTCTTTCAACATGTTACACATGAAGCTGGTAATTAGCCATAAGTTGCACTACATAGCAGTTTTGTCACCAAGATGTTTCTTGTATGGCTCATCAAAATAAGTCATAAAATATTTTCACTCAAATCATCACCAATATATGGCTAAATCTCTGTAACACCAACATCCATATCATTAAATGTTGGTATTTCTGGTACAAAATTGTTACAAATTTCTCTCACAAATACACCCATGCTGCTTGTGCTGGTATCACCACCATGACCACTATCAGCATGGGTGCCAACATAACAGTTCAGTTTTCTTGAACTAAAACTCTGTTGGCCTGGAGATAGTTTTCCTACGTTGTATAGTAGGCCGACCACAAAAACTTGAAAAGGCCGCCACACTGTTGTTAGTGTCCTCATGGCTGGAGAGAGACCAGCACTTGGCAGGGCATGCTGCTGAGACAGCAAATCCTCGTCTAGTAACACCACCACAAGAGCCACTAACACTCGGTTCTTCTATGCTACTTGTTCAAAGTTAGTGTCACTGAATTCAGAAACAGATTTGTCTCCTGCAATATCACGTTGTTCAGAAATGCCAGATGGTACTGGTGGTGGTAATACAGTAATGGCAGGGGTGCTTATTCAGATTGTGTGGCAAGGCTGGCAGTGTACTGTATTATACATACCCCCCTGTATCCTCTTCTTCAGTGTCAGTATCACTCATATCCGATACTTGTGTTAGGTCTTTATTGGGATTTGGGTCATCAACATTATTAGTACGATCCTCTTCAAAGAGTCAAAAAATATGTTTTGAATTCCATCTTCAAACAGTGGTTTTTCAACCACGAGACCCAGAGACTGCGAGCTAGATGCGTGTGCATCAGCCATGGTTGCTCACTTGAATCTGAGCCTATCTGCAGCCATTGGGCATTTTGAAGTTATCTTGAGATGATTTTTGGGGTTTAGCGTTCCCGCGGCCCGGTCCTTGACCAGGCCTCCTTTTTGTTACACCCCCCCAGAAAGCAGCCCGTAGCAGCTGTCTAACTCCAAGGTACCTATTTACTGCTAGGTGAACAGGTGCATCAGAGTGAAAGAAACTCTGCCCATTTCTTTCCACCTCACCGGGGATCGAACCTGTAACCTCAGAACTACGAATCTGAAGCGCTGTCCACTCAGCTGTCAGGCCCCAGCAAATGGTTAGGTTAGGCATGCTGGGAATTTTTTTTTACAAATTTCAGTGCCAGGTCTGAGGCATCCATCTGATACCCAACCTACTTCACTTGAGTTTTGAATCTTACAATATACAAACAAATGTGATATGCTGGTATGCGCATTCCCTTTCCCCATGACAACAGATGGTGTGTGCAGTACACCTAAAAGCCTACCAGAGACTAATAGTTAATACCGACCAGAGACCAGAGTTCAAATCTAGACCCCCCTTACAAAGGTGCAGAAAGTAGGGAATTCATGATCTCTCACTGAAGAAACAAATCCCCAGACAAGAAGCAAAGAAAGACAGGCAACTTCAAGGTTCATAGAAAGTAAACAAACAATCAGCAAACAACTGAAAATGAGTCACCAAGAGATTTTTACAGACGGGGATTTACTATCTGTAAACCTTAGTTGTATATTTAGATTAGCTTCGTGTTTGGGGTTTATTTCTTTGGTGAGGGTGATCATGAATCCCCAACTCCCTGCACCTCTGTGAGGAGATGCCAGGATTTGAACTCTAGTCTGTTAGGCTACTAATGACTTCATATGTTTAAGACTGGGGCTTATGTGACCTACATGTGTTGAGCTAGCAACATTGAGCCACCAAGGAACCCCTCCTGTAGAAACAGGCGTTTCATTATGTTCAATGCTGATTCTTTTGTCGACATTCAAAAAGCTCTTGGTCATAATTGCTCCAGATTTTGAAGTGCATAGGAACTGTATGGTTCCTTTAAAATATATTATTTTGTTTGTTAAGCAGTATATTTTCTGTGTCAGACTCATTTCAAACGCCCCACCATCCAAATAATTCATATACCGTAATGTGAAATCAATTAATTATTTTTAATCCTTATTATTTGTCTTAGGCCTGCTCAGAATGCTGTGTACTTTGGACTTTGAAATATATTTTGTATACTACAAAGTTTCTAATAATATTCTCGTATTGCACAGTGGTGTATTTTCCATTTAGAGTAGAATCTCGCTTGTGTGATCATTGTGGGATTGGGCTTAGCTTACCACATGTGATTTTTTTTGTTTGCAATCTGGTGACTATTAATGACAATAAAACAAATTTGTCCTATGTTAACCTCTTGGGATGTGAATGTATAATTACCTAAAATGTATTTACAAGATGAGAACTACACTTGTGATATAATGTCTGAGGATGCCTCATCCTTTGTCCCACACACTGAATTATCAAGTTGTTAAATCTACTTATAAGGGATGCAGTGATGAGCTTGTAAGTGGCCATGCCTGCCAATAAGTCATGTTAGACACTCTCTAAAAGTCCACTTGGTCGCTTTCCTTGCACTTTGTCATCCCATTTTCACCCCATCCCCTCATTTACTGGAGTGGGAGGTAAGTCATGTATTTGGAGTTCCTGTGCTTCCTCTCAGCCACTTAATAAGAGTTTTGGCTGCATCCGACTATGTCTCTTCTATCTTATCATCAACACTGGTCCCGTTCTTCTAAAAATTCTAGTTAATATAGAGGATCTGATGCACCAGAAACCCAGGCATGTGCCATTCTTTCTTTTGCCATTGCTGTATGCTCCACATTCACTCAGTTCTGGTGGCCAGTGAAGTTCCTCCATCAGCCCTTTTGTAGTTCACCCTAGTGACAGCACAGTGGGTGGGATAACTGAGGGCTTTTGACACACTAAGTTATGGGATGCATAGGTGTACCATGTGGTTTTCTAGGGTTTTTATTGGAAACACCAAAAAAACCCTTATGAACTCTTTGGGATTTGGAACTCCCTTCCCTTCCTGTACCTTAGGGTACCTGCTCAGCCATCTACTCTACTACTACTCCACAATGTCATTTGTAATTTGTTGACAAGAGGCCTGGTCAGAGACTGGGCCATTTAAATACTAATCCCCAAAATCATCAACGGGTAAGAGTTTGGTCGCAGTGATCCCATCTTAGTGGAGGGTGTCTTGCTTCTTCACTACCTCTATGCACGATACCCTGGAACCTTTACCTGTCATGGCTCATCCAGTAAATTCCTTGTCTCTCATTCCGAATGACAACTGCGTCCCAGGTTTGCCATGTAGTTTCATGCAATGATTTGCTCATTTCCTAGAATCTTCATGATGTTTATTGCATATTTTCTTTTAGCTGTGGTTGAGGGATTGGCTGAGGTTTAGAGTGGTGCTTCTCTCATACCAGTTTTGAGTTCTGCCTTTCGGTTTGAACCCGACGGCTGTTAGTCAGGAATCTGGTTTCCTGGTTGACCTTCTCATGCTTCTTAGTCAATTAGCAAAAGACTCTGTTAGTGGTTTGTCAAGTTGTGATGTGGTTGGGGCTGGTCTGGGATATCTTGAAATCTCTATCCCACATTTAGCTCTGATGCAGCTGTGTACCAATCTCCAGCTGGTGCTGGGAAGGTCTCTGCTGCCCTCCCAGGACCTCTGAGCAGTCTGAATTTTGTCCGCATAATTTACCCATTTAGGGGATGTTCAGTTTTTAATAATGTATTCATTTTCTTACGAAAATTGATCTACAAAGAAAATTAAGTTTCTTATTCGTAGTCACATACATAGCTCATTGCATATATTGAATATGCAAATGCTGTAATTTAGTCACTGATGTGCGATGTTATCAGGTGTTACACTGTTCTCATAATATGAAGGGCTAAAGTAATTTTGTTATGTTTCCATTTAACACTTTCGCGCTCCGTGGAAACTCGCGGTTGACAGGGGGTAGGTGGCCCCTCCATGCGGGTAAGCGCGCGGTGACACCCAAATGTGTATATTCGTTCCAGCTTTATCACCTTAATTCTCGTGCTACGTCGCTCGTTTTGGTATCATTGTGTTCGCAATTAAATTCTCTACAGGTGTGTATAAATATGATGTCCAAAAGCCTAGCGTGACTCCCAACAGCAAAGCGTAAAGTCGGCAAAAACGCACAAAATCAGTAACATGTGCATTCTCGTTCCATTTTTTTACCTTAATTCTCGTGCTACGTCGCTCGTTTTGGTATCATTGTGTTCGCAATTAAATTCCCTACAGATGTGTATGAATAAAATGTACAAAAGGCTGGAGTGCCTCCCCGCAGAAAAGCCTAAAGTTACCCGTGAACGAGCACCATTTTGTACATTGCAACCTAATGTTCAACTCGTTCAATTTGATAACATCAAATTTCGTGCTACGTCGCTCATTTTGGTATCAAATTGTTCGCAATAAAAAGGCGATTATTTTAAAACTAGTCCCAGAATAATAGAGCAATAACTGGATTTTTAACAAATATTTTAATTCTGGACGCTCATCATCACAAATTTATTTATATCTTTCCAGTGTTCTGACATAAATATTTGCGTTACATCTTTCATTTTGGTATCAAATTGTTCGCAATAAAAAGGCGCACATTTTAAAACAAGTCCCAAGATAATAGGACAATAAATAGAATTTTAACAAATATTTTAATATTCAGACCATAGACCTATTTATAATATTTCAAGTGTTTGGACATCAAGTTTCATGTTATATCTTTGATTTTGGTATCAAATTGTGTGCAATCTAAAGGCGCTTATTTTAAAACCACTACCAGATTGATCTGATAAAATTTAAATTTTTAAAAAATATTGTAATGAGTGACTCAGTATTGCGTCGTTGGAACACATTCAGTAGAAAAGTGAGTGACGAATTATTAAGTCTGTGGAACGCGAAAGTGTTAATATACATTTTCTAGACTTGATTATAATAAAATATATTATATATATATAATTTATTTATTTATTGGTTTATGTAATTGGCATATGTGCCTTCACAGAATAGGGAAATGTATTGTACATCTCAAAAGTATTTAAAGAAAGTAATTTAAGAGCTTGAATTATTGCTTGAAGGTAGCCTTAGACTATTTAGGGAGTGATGCATTCTGACTTTAATATCCGTGTTTAAAATTAATTCTTGATAGTGACTTTGCAAATAAATATTGGTGTCATGTGACTAACTTTTGCTTTTATCATTCTTTCAATAATTGGCATTTTGAGTGCTGCTGAAGGGCTGTCGTATGATATTAGATAATACTATTTTCTGGAGGGCTGAACAGTGACTCCCTGTAGCTTTCCACATTAAGATAATTCCACACATAGGAATAGCTCCACACACGAGTCACATTAACCCTAGGAGTTCTAAATAGCCTACTGGAGACCAGTGCTAGAACCTGGCCCCTCAGAGGCACAGGGAGCAGGGCATTGTTATGATCACCCTCACCAAGTAAACATCCAGAAAGTAAGTGAAGGTTCACCGAAAAGAAATGAAACATCAATTAAGTCTGAAAACAATCTACCCAGTTGTCAGTTTGAACCATCCCCCCCCACGCTTCATTACAGCTAACCACTAGCAGGTGGTGCTACCCCCTGTTAGTGGTGCTGCCACTAGTGGTGACATTGGGAGCTGCTGGCTCCCAATGTCAACATTCCTCAGTCCTTTGCCTAATAGTAAATAGTTTGGACTACTTGAGTTACCGGCCTTGCAAATCCAAACTATTTCTAGATAAGTATTGGACATCCCTTGGACTTTGTCTTATGGGGGGCCCACTTGCTTGTGTATCATTTCAAGGTTTAGTGTTTGTTTCATGTGCATGTGCTTACAAGTCTCACTTGTATGTGGACTTTGGTATCTGTCATCATCTATCGTTTAGCTTTGGCATAGCTGCTTTTGTTGGCTTTCAGTGTCGGTACTTCCTTGTGACAGTTTCATAAATTGTCCTGTGCTTTCTTTCACCTCCAGCCTCCTCATTGTCCTCTTGAGCTGTATTGGTGTCTAGATAGGGGCATTAGTTGTTATTTTGTCTTTTCAGTTCTTGGTCGCCCCTTCAGTCATTGATACCTTCTTTAAGGCTTTGTTTTTTATTGGCCGTTGCTTTCAGTTGTAGAGCTGGGGAGCTTCACACTCGCCTCTGAAAATGGGGGGTTTTGTTATTTTGTCCCTGGCAGGTGGTTTCTCCTTCTTTTCTGTTGAAGAATGGAATGTTTGGCTTTCATTGGAGTCCTTTAATATTGATTTACGGTTTGTTTGGCTGGGGTTGGCTCATTTGTTGCCTGATTGCAACTATTCATTGCTACCTGTGCACCACCTAAACTGTTTCAGTGGACATGTTTGTTGATACTTTGTCTCTTGTTCCAAGACTCACTTATCTCGGGTCATCTGCAGTGTCTTTAAACCTAGCCATCATGTGGTCTATCTTCTTGCCCATGTTGTTCCAAAATTTGAGTCTCTGTCTGCTATCTGTTTAATGTCTTGGGTTGATATCAAGACTCGGGGATTCTGGAGGGCTATCAGGGTCTTGACACCCCGTCTTGGTCTCTCCTCTTTGAGGGTTTGATCTTTGCTCTTCTCTGGTATGTCCAGGTTTACTACTACATGGTTAGCACTAAAGGAAGCCACTGTTTGGCCCCTCCAGAAAACTAACAGTGAATTTAATGAAATACTTCTTTCTGGTTGGGTCTTGGTGGCTTCCTAGTCGTCCCTCCCTTCCCCCACCATATACGTCGGTTTGTTATCTTGGGTTGCAGACTGTGAAATGTTGACAAGGTAAACTGACAGCTATGATGGTGCTACCACCTGTTAGTAGTCAGCTTTAGCTAGAGGGGGTTCAAACTGACTACTGGGTGGATTGTTTGTGAAGTCATTTGCCGCTTTGTTCTTTTCTCTCTCAACCTTGAAGTTGTCCGTTTTGCTTCATGTACTTCTGGATGTTTCATAAGTGAGGGAGATCATAACACCCCTGCTCTTTGTGCCTCCGTGAGGGGATCCAGGGTCTGGTCTCTGGTATGCTCTGGAACTCCTAGGGCTGATGGGACTCATGTGTGGAGATCTCTCAGTATAGCTTGCTGCAGGGGGGGGACCACTGGGGCCCAACCAAAAAGAGGCATTTCATTACATGGAATGCTGGTTTTTAAGGTCATGATGTATAGTACTGTAGTTAATCTTGTAAGTGCAGCATCCCTAAATATTTATTTTACTACTCAATTACTTCTTAACCCTGCATCTTCTTATGCACCTTTCACAAATTAAGGACGACGAACTAGAAAACAAGGTCAGAATAATTATAAAAACCTTCTGATTCCATATTCTGAAGAGCTGTTAAATTTTGCTTGTATTATTCATGACATATTTTGTTTAGAAAATAAATTATCTTCATTAAAAAGTACTGTACCACAAAAATAATAATTGTTCATTAATACATTACACGTTTGTAAACCATTTGGGAATGGTATTTTATTGAATCGGATTTCTAACTTCTGGAAAGAGGCTGTGAAATCTCATACTATACTTCCCTTGCCTCTATTTTTACTTCAGAGTATGGATTCAGTATAATTGATCTCTTCAGTAACAAAAGTATGGTGGAACCTTGATAGATCGGATTACTTGGGACTGGATCCAATCCGAATAATTAAGATTTTTAAACATTTTTGCTATTTATCACCAGATTTTGGGTATTTTCTTATTATAGATTATAGAACACATAAATAATAAATAAATTACTTTAAATATGTAACTATTTTTTGTAGGAGCCCCTGGTGGCTACCTGAAGCTATCCTAGATGAATCCTGACTACTGGGTTATATTGGTCATTGTAGTCCATTTGGCCTACTAGGGACCGGAGCCAGAACTTGATTGCCCTCATGGAGGCGCCGAGAGGAGACTTATTCTTATCACCTCACCAGGAAAGCATTCACAAAGGTCAGCAAAGTATTATGGACAACTGCAAGAGTCATAGCAAACGAGGCAATTAGACTACAAAATGACTCGGCAGTCTATTCAGGAGAAACGGTGAACCACTCAAGCTAGCATAAACCCATAAGTTTATGAGTTCATTTTCCTGGATGCTCGGTTAACACTGCCTTTGCACCCACAGTGTAACTTCTCTGGCATATTTGGGAGTTTACTACCTTGAGGTCTGACCACTGGGGTGGGGTGCCTTGCTCTAGTCAGTGAACATGTACTACCTCCTCTGGCTTTAAGCTCTGGGCTGGGGGGTGTTCTGTTTGGCTGTGAGTCATGTGCACTAGAGTTCGTGCGCACTTTGTTCAAAGAGCACACTGCAGACGCCTGTTGTAGCCATGTTTTTTAGACTGTTTGGTGCCAGTTCTTCTGGTAAGTGTGTGTGTTGCCTGGGTGTCCTGCTACAGTCACCACCTGCAGGCTATGGTAATTCTCTTGTGAGTCTACGGCATAGTTTGTTATGGTTTGACTTGTCGAGTCTGCTCTGTCAACATGCAAGCTTGTGTGCTTGTCGTCATTCTACTGGCTGGCAATCACTCTCTCTCTCTGCCTCCACCAAGTTGCCTCTTGGGTCAGTGACACCTGCATTCCAGAGTCCTTCATCATAAATGCGCATAGCATTTCCACTCTGTCAGCAAGCTTCTCACCCATGAAGTTTGCCAGACAGCTGCCTCACTGGTTGTTTCAGCAGTTTGTGGTGTCAGGGCAGGGTTTGCTTGAGGTTTTGTCTAGTGTTCTCTGGTGGTGATCCATCGAATTTGACAGCAAAAGTAATTGAATCGGCTCTTCCCGTCGAGATGCTGAGCTTCTTTTTTCACAACCACACTTTCTCTGGTACTTCTTCATACAACAATTTTCTGTCCTGGATGCTGGTCATGGACTACAGCTCTGCCCCAGGGCCATTATGGCTGGCTTTTGGGGCTGGGGGGGGGGGGGGTTAGTAAGAAGGGTCTGTGTGCCCCCTTCAGCCCTCCTTGGATGTTGATTTCTTCATTGGTGGAGTCTTTTGCTCATTTAATGGGTGTTTTAATTCCCCTGACATTGCACATTCTGGTTTTTCTTGGTGGTCCCCTGTGGTTTGTTTCTTTGGAGCTTTGTACTCGTCTTCACTCTGGGGAGGAGGGTCCTATTGTCCCATGTTGCACCTGTTTTGGCTCGTGCAGGTCTATTTTGGTTCCTCCTGTAGGGTTCAGTCTTGCTGGTATTGGCCTCTTTCATGTCCTGGTCGGCTTCAGCTTCTTGCCTGCAGTTTGCAGTTGTCTGTTTCTCCTGGCTGGTTGACACCCCTCATTTCATATGGGCTTTGCAGGAGTTCTTTTGGACTTGGACACTTCCTTGACATGCGTCCTGTAGCCTTCCATTTGTGACTACCTGTTTGTCTGAAGCTCTTGTAGGGTTTTGCAATGCTCGTTTCCCACTTGGTGATTGTCTTGTGTTTTGGATTGTTGTGAGGTGAGGTGTGTTGTTGTCCTGCTCTGTGTAGCATGTCCTTGGTCACTCGGCGGTTGCTCAAGCAGCTGTGTTGGAGTTTGAACTTTGCCGTGCTGGTTTATCCGCAGGGTTGGCGTTTCATTACATTCAACGCTGGATTTTTGCATGATCCTTGGTGACCTAGTTCCAATTTGGGTTTCATGTGCTGATTCCTTTGGTGACTAGCTAGGCTGACGCACAGACCGTGGGTGGTCCGTGTGTTAGATGGCTAGGGATCTGGGTCTTTCCAGCTCGCTGGATGTGAGTTTCTTCTGGGCTAGTGGATGTCCCACTTGGTTCAGTCCTGGGTTGAGTTAAGGTTGGGTCTCTTTAGGATTCTTGACTGACATCTCAAATAGTCTTAACCATTTGTGTGGCAAGCAGGTGGGTGGTTGTTTTATTGGTGTCCCACCTGCATCTCTTTGCAGTGTTAATGTCATTGCCTGGCACTTGTTTTGCCTCTTCAGTCCCTAATCTTTCTCTAGTGGTGCATGTTCTAGGGTTCTGTTCCTCATGTCATGGATGTCTTTGGTTTGGCATCTTCTGGCTGATATTGTTACCTCTTATTGTTAGGCATTGGCAGAGCCATCGCTGCTTTCATTCAACATTGCTGATGTTTCAATGCCATTTCACAAGTTGTTTTGGGCGTTTTTCTCCTCCAACCAGCTCATGCTTCTCCTGACCTGTCTTGGTCTTTCTTTCCCTACCAAGTTCTCGGTTGCCCCTTTGGTCGGGAGTGTTCTCTTGGAATGGTGTTTTTGTTGACTCTTGCTTACAGCTGTGGTATTAGAGAGTACATACTCATCTCTGGAGGTTGAGGGGGGAAGGAAAGGGTTGTTCCTTTGACCCTGGAAGGCGATTTGTTCATCTGCCCCCTTCTTTTCTGGCATTGAATAAACTGGCTGACTTCCAGGAGGGATCCTTTGGTAATTGATGCTTGGCAGGTTTGGCTGGGGATGCATCATTTGTTATGGCCATTTAGCTGCTGCCTGCATGTAACACTTCAGCTTTAGTGGCTGCCTTGTTGGTTGCCCCGTTTTTTTTTGGTACCTGTTCCTATTACTCAGGTTGTTCACTGTTTTCATGACTGAGTAGCCAGTGGTCTGCTCTGAGGACCGTAGTGTTGGTTGGGTTGCCGCATTGCTTTTCCTGTAGCATGGCATGGGTTATTTTTCTGTTTCAGAGTTTTGGTGTTAAGATGGGGTCCTAGCACCTCCTTGTTAGGTTCTTGTTGGTCCCTGTAGGTAATGTGTGTTACTGGGTCTGGTTCCTGGCCTGTGATATGTTCTTCAGGGTAGTATCTGCTGTCTCCTCCCTGGAATATTCCTTGATTCCTTTCTCAGTGATTAGTTAGCTTGAGGGAGATACAAGGGGGCTCCTTCCAGAAAACCAACATTGAATGTTATGAAATCTCAAGTAGAGCCCCAGTGGCCCCCTGACTCTCTCCATCCCTACCAGGTTTAGAGGTTTGGCCATTCAGGGTGCATCAGATCTGGACTGACCTTGCAGTCAGCTGTGAGCCAGGGCTCTGGGCTGGCTGGTGGCAGCTTGCAGTAGTAATGGGTTTACACTTGTTTGAGTGGTTCACTGTTTTTCCTAAATAGATTTACTTGTTGTTTAGCAGTCTCATTGGCTCATTTGCTATGAACTTTGCAGTTATCTGTAAAGCTTCATTGACTTTGTAGATGTTTTTCCAGTGGGGGTGACGAAAATATTTTCCCCAAATCACTGCACCTCTGTGAATGGGTTAGGTTCTGGTCTCGTATAAGCCAAACAGTCATGTGACTAATGTGACCAGGTAGTGGCGCGGCATCTCAACAAGATAGCTTCAGGTAGGCACAAAGGTTCTACCAGAAAGTGGCATTTCATTACATTCAACACTGGATTTTTAAACTTACAATTCAAATAAATAAATAGAATAGTCAGACCCATTGACCTAGATTATCTTAGTTTTCATCCAACAAATTCTTTTCAGACCATCATGTTTTTGTTTACTATCAAGGTTCCACTCTTGAATAAATGTTCATATTTTTTGTTTGTGACTTATCCTACAAGTAGAGTGCAGTCTTGTTTGCCATAAGCTGTGTTTCATCTTACACGTGTATATCTGTCATGGAATTAACTGTTGATTCTCCTTAATAGTTTTTTCTCTGACTATTCTCACTGCAGCAGCACTTTAAGGTTTGTTACATTTCTCAGCCTCAACATCATTACATAAAAAAACTGACATGTTTTCCCATATCAGGTTTTATTACCTGGTAATTTATTTTTGTCCTGCTTTCATTCTACTTTCACTTTGTATGTGCTTGCAAAGTTAAACCTCTCACATTCCAAGTTGTAATTTTTCAGCACCAGCAAGAATGAACTGCTTCTCTAAGTAGTGAACATTCCAGTATGTACTGTAAATCTCTTCAACAAGTGCTGTGTTGGTTCTCCTTCAAAACTCTAGCATATGAAGGCATTTTACAGGAGTCTACACTCTTGTTTTAAATTACAAATAATAAGTTATTTTATGATGGGACTGACACATTAATGAATCCTATAAGAATTTCCCATATAGAGCATTCTTTTTTAATATTTCACCAAAAAATTATATTATAAGATATGGTAAGACAGATTGAAGATACCTTTCATGATTGTCCTAATGACATCAAACCACATAAGGTTAATTTTTTTTTTATACAGGATATAGATAAAGTATATTCTATAGGCCAGTATTAACTTTTAGTTCTTTTTTAATAAATCTTATGAAATATTTAAGACTTGGTGTGTGTGTGTAAATTTTGTACTTTCAGAAATATTTGTCACACCGTTTCATCTTGAATATAGCATTCAGTTGTT